TATTAGTTGCTATGAATAATCTGTTACATCGTCATTAATAACGGTCATAGTATACTATTACACAGTAAAGTGGCTGCAGACAGTGATAATACACTAGCATTTCAAGGAGACAAGAGAAAATATGTTATTTACTTATTCTTATTTAATTTTATTATATGTGTATGAGTGTGTCTGTGTAAGTGCACCCACACTGTGCAATACCTGTAGAGGTCAGAAGAGGGCATAGGGTCCCCTGGAACTGGAGTTACAAATTAGCTGCCATGTGGATGCTGGGAACTGAACCTGGGTCGTCTGCAAGAGCAGCCAGTGCTCTTAACCACGAAGCCAGCTCTCCAGCCCCTATTTATTTATTTATTTATTTTATTTTTTGTTTTGAGACAAAAATCTCACTATGTAGCCCTGGCTGACCTAGAACTAACTCAATATGTAGACCAGGCTGGCCTCACTCTCACAGAAATCCATCTGCCTCTGCCTCCCGAGTGCTGGGATTAAAGGCATATGCCTCCACAGCCATCTTAAATACTTTTAGGATAGATGAAAACATGAAATATGTTTGAGGAGATTGATATTTTTATATTGGCTTGAACATTGTACAACATGGACACCTATCAAAACATTGCATGGTATTCCACAAACACATACAAATTTTATGTCTGAGCTAAAAAATAAATCCACAGGGGCTGGGGCCAGGGCTCAGTGAGCAGAGCTCACCTAGCCTGCAGGGAGCCCTGGGTTCATCCCCAGCACAAATAAACCAGGAATGGTGATGCACGCCTATTGTCACTGTGCTTGGGTCAGGACATGGAAGCAGGAGGATCAGGAGTTTAGGGTCATCTTCAACTACATAGGAGTCAGAGGACAGCTTCAGCTACGTGAGACCTGAGTCAGAATGAATGAATGAATGAATGAATGAATGAATGAATATGGGGCCCGGCATGGTGACTTACACCTGTCATCCCAGCACTCTAGAGCCAACAGCAAGATCATGAGTTTCAGGAAGGCTGAGGGTGCAAGACTCTGTCTTTAATAATAATAATAATAATAATAATAATTAAGGCTGGAGCAATGGCTCAGTAGTTAAAAGCACTTGTTCCTACCAGCCACATGGTGGCTAACAACCGTCCATAACTCCAGTTCTAAGTGATCTGATGTCCTTTTCTGTCCTACAAGGTCATTGCAGGACAGCGGTGCACTTACATAACATGCAGGCAATACACTCATACCCATAAAATAAAAATAAATAAATAGCTTTAGGGACTGGAGAGACGGCTCAGTGGTTAAAAGCACTGGCTGCTCTTGCAGAGAATCCAAGTTCGGTTCCCAGCACCCACATGGCAGCTAACAGCTATCCATAACTCCAGTTCCAGAGGATCCAACTTCCTCTTCTGACCTCCAGAGGCATTGCATGACACAGGTGCACTTACACACATGCAGGCAATACACTCATACACATAAAATAAAAATAAGTAAAATATTGAAAAAAGTAACCATCACAACTCCCCAAAAGTAAATTAAATAATTAAAAATAGTAATAATGCTAACTCATTTTCTCTTCATTGTTATTTATGTATTATTTACTGAGACAGGGTCTCATGGTAACCCAGTTGGCCTCCCTCTTATGATGTATCAGAGGATGACCCTGATCAGACTCCTGGTCCTGCTTCCACCTCCCAGTATGACAGGCATGGGCCACCATGCCTGGTTTTTGAGGAGCTAAGGATTGGACCCGGAGACCTCGTGCTGTCTGGGCAAGCGCTCGCCCTCTGAGCTCCAGCCCTCACTGTCGCTTTTGTATCGTGGAATTAGGAGTCAGACACTAGGGTTGCTGGGCAGACCCGAAGGAGGGGCAGGCTCCCCCCTCCATATCTTCGTGTCCCGCTCCTGTCCCCTCCCCAGGTCAATCGGGAGCCGGCAACAACTGGGCAAAGGGCCACTACACGGAGGGCGCGGAGCTGGTGGACGCGGTCCTGGACGTGGTCCGCAAGGAGGCGGAGAGCTGTGACTGTCTCCAGGGCTTCCAGCTGACGCACTCGCTGGGCGGCGGCACCGGCTCGGGCATGGGGACCCTGCTCATCAGCAAGATCCGCGAGGAGTTCCCGGACCGCATCATGAACACCTTCAGCGTGGTGCCGTCGCCCAAGGTGTCGGACACCGTGGTGGAGCCCTACAACGCCACGCTGTCGGTGCACCAGCTGGTGGAGAACACCGACGAGACCTACTGCATAGACAACGAGGCGCTCTACGACATCTGCTTCCGCACGCTCAAGCTGACCACGCCCACCTACGGCGACCTCAACCACCTGGTGTCGGCCACCATGAGCGGCGTCACCACCTGCCTGCGCTTCCCGGGCCAGCTCAATGCCGACCTGCGCAAGCTGGCGGTGAACATGGTGCCGTTCCCGCGCCTGCACTTCTTCATGCCCGGTTTCGCGCCTCTCACCAGCCGCGGCAGCCAGCAGTACCGCGCGCTGACTGTGCCCGAGCTCACGCAGCAGATGTTCGACGCCAAGAACATGATGGCGGCCTGCGACCCGCGCCACGGCCGCTACCTGACGGTGGCCGCGGTGTTCCGGGGCCGCATGTCCATGAAGGAGGTGGACGAGCAGATGCTCAGCGTGCAGAGCAAGAACAGCAGCTACTTCGTGGAGTGGATCCCCAACAACGTGAAGACGGCCGTGTGCGACATCCCGCCGCGGGGCCTGAAGATGGCGGCCACCTTCATCGGCAACAGCACGGCCATCCAGGAACTGTTCAAGCGCATCTCGGAGCAGTTCACCGCCATGTTCCGCCGCAAGGCCTTCCTGCACTGGTACACCGGCGAGGGCATGGACGAGATGGAGTTCACCGAGGCCGAAAGCAACATGAACGACCTGGTGTCCGAGTATCAGCAGTACCAGGACGCCACCGCCGAGGAAGGCGAGTTCGAGGAGGAAGCCGAGGAGGAGGTGGCCTAGCTCCCCTGCCCTGGCTTCAGCTGTGCCCCAGCCTTGACCCTGAGCGCCGCACTCCTCCCCACCCTAAGACCCCCATGAGCACCCTCAGGGTGCCCTTAACCGCCATCCAAGCCCAGAACCCAGGTTGTTTCCACCTGCTTCTTCTCTGGCCCTCTGGCCCTGCCTCACCTGAACACCCCCCCAACCCCACTTTGTCTCCAATCCCAGCTGGAGCAGTTCCTCCAATTTCCATCAGCCCCACCCACTTCACCTCCTCTGATCTTGCAAACTGTAGTCTATGATCCTTCCCTCTTCACTCCTGTATTGCTTTCCACCTCTGACACCCTCAGACCCATCCCACCCCCATGAAATCTCTCTACACATGGAAACCTTGATAATGTCTAACCCATTCTCTGAGACTTCTTCACCTGTGATCTGATCTTATTTTTAACCCCACAGGCTCCCCCTCCTCACAGGTCCCCCCTCCTCACATATCCCCCACATATCTCACTGGCTCCCACAAGTCTATCTGTGCCCTGCTTTGTTCCACAGTGGCTTGCCAGAGAAATGATGTTGGAGGGAGAGGAAGGAAAATTTGATTGATTGATTGATTGACTGATTGATTGATGATTGATTGATTGATTGATTGATTGATTGATTAAAAGTTAATTAACTTAAAAAGGCCTAGAATCACAGGTGAGAGAATTCATCCCGAGGGCCCATCTACCCAGCGCTACTCTCCCTGGCCTCACTGCCCCCCATCAATAAATTAGTCTTCACTCTGCTGTGACTTTTGTCAAATTTATTTTCCTCTCTGAGTGTGGTCATTGAGGGGGGACCCCTGCAAGGTAGAGGGGGATGCTGAAGGTCAAATCTTGGGGTGGTGGGAGACAGAGATTTCAGAGCCAGACAGACCAGATTAGACCACAGACCAACTCAGTGGTGTGAGAGAAGTCCCGTACACTAGGGACTTTCCTGCTCTCTACACTGTTACCAAACTTGGGGTCACCATCTGTACCCTAAGGGAGGTTTATTCAATGTGTCATTTTTCTGCTTTTTAATGTTAATTTGACTGTTTAATTGGCTTCTCAAGGGTGGGTGGCCAAACAACTTTTCTTTAATCATATTTTATAATTATTTTTGAGACAGGGTCTCCCAGTAGCCCCAGTTGAACTGGAACCTGCTATATAGCCCACAAACATACAAATAAACACACACACACACACACACAGAGACAATCATTAAAAGAAGAAACTGGCCAGGTGTAGTGGCGTGAGCCTTTAATCCCAGCACTTGGGAGGCAGAGGCAGGTGGAGCTCTGTGAGATCAAGACCAGCCTGGATGACAGAGGGAGTTTCAGGCCATTGATGCTGCAGGGAGACCTTGTCTCAAGATACAAAAGGACCTGGATATGACTATGGGGACTGAAATTTCACCCTGTGTCAGTGTGAACCGGGCCTCAGAGCCTGTCCCCTCTTCTTGCCCATGCTGTGCGCACCTAGGCTAGGAACTGGGACGCCTGTGTTGCTAATAGTGGGTGGGGGCAGGGGCCTCTAGTCCGTCTAGGGACTGGGACGTCACCCTGTTAAACTTCCTCTCTCAGCCACACAGGAAGCTGAGCCGGCTCAGGGGCCCAGCCCGGAGCAAACACAACCTCCCCACCCCAGACCAGGACCCTTGAGGGGAAGAGGGGAGAGGACTCTTCTGGGCCAGGCCTGCAGCAACATGGGATCCAGAGATAAGTAAGGAACGCCCCTCCTTCATCCTGTGGATGGAAGTTCCCAGGCCTGAGATGCCTGAGAAGGGTGCCTGGGGCTGGGGAGGGCCAGGAGGTACGGCAGGCCACCCACAACAGCAGAGAGCCTTGGGGACCGCTTAGGCCTCTACGGTCCCTTCTCTCTTTTTCTGACTCTGGGTCCATGACCACAGCAGGAATTCAGAGAGTGTGGCACCCCAATAAGGGTGATATTTTAAGGTAACAGCTTCCAGAGGGGTAGTCAACAGGGTACAGGAAAGGCCGTGTGTCAACCCAATCCAGATGGTGTGTGGCTTGTGTCCATGCAAGGGTAAGCTGCTAGAGCCCTCAGGACTGGGATGGTGTGTGTAACTGGATGGGGGTGTCTGTAAGTTGGTCACCTCCTCCTGGGCCCAGGCCCCTGAATCCTCCTTGTGATGTGACAGGCAATAAGGCAGGCAGAGATTGTGAGGCTTACAGTTAAGTACCAGGCAGGGCACCTTGATGTCCTCTCTCAATGGGGTTGGCCACCTTGGGCCCCACAAAATCTTCCACAGAGACACAGGGATAAGTCTTAAAGATGCTCAAGGTCACAGTGAGAAAAGAGATACAGCTCACTTGGGTACACACACCCACAGTCCTACCCGACATACTTAGGGGGACAGTTGAACTTTTCAGGGAGACATCAGAATCACACACACATATGCACACACACAAGTGCTTCTTTGTACATGACAGGCACTCAGAAACACACATATCACATGCCCATGGGGTCTCTCACTCCCCCTCCCTCTGCCTCTCTAGAGTCTCTACCCAAGCCCTGCCTCCCAAGTCAGTCCTCTCTCTCTCTCTCTCTCTCTCTCTCTCTCTCTCTCTCTCTCTCTCTCTCTCTCGGTTCTCACTATGCAGCTCTGACTGAGATTTACAGAATGATATTCCCCTTCTCTCTTTGAGACAGGGTCTCGTGTAGACCATAGTAGACTGAACTCACTATGTAGCCAAGGATGTACAATACCATGCCTGGTTTTAAGGTACTAACAATGAACCCAGGAGGGTGTCATGTGTGCTAGGCGAGCTCTGCCCACTGAGCCCCAGCCCCCCCACACACACACACACATCGCACACTCACAGTCCTCAGCAGTCCACACAGTCTCATACAACCACACACAACTTCCACCCCTCAGGGTGGCCCACATACCAACACACCTAGTCACAGGTGTGCAGAGTATCAAGTGCCCACACATGTACACACACACAGGACCCTCACAGAAGCCAAGCCCCTCATAAAAGCCAGGCCCAGGACCTGCTAAACAGCCCCTCTCCCACAGAAACCCTACTCCTGACCTGTTTGACTGGTTCTTTGAAGCAGCCTGCCCCGTCTCCCTGGAGGAGGGTGAGTTGGGAGCCCCTAGGGGTTGAAGAGCCTGGAGGGAGGGCAGGAGACCTTGAACTCAGAACCCTGCTCTCCCCTGCAGACCCCCCCATCCTGTGGCAGTTCCCCCCAGACTTCAAGGAACAGGTATGTATCCTTGTTCCCCTCCCCTGCCCAGTCGAGAGGGAGGGACATCTGTGACTTGAATCCTGGACGGAGGGATGGGGCTCACATGAGTTCCTGTCTCTCCACCTCCAGGAAGTCGAGCGAGTGGTCCCCAAGTTCTGTTTCCCTTTCGACGTGGAAAGGTATGGAGGGAAAGGACCCTAAGAATTAAGCAGTCAGCAACCCAGACAAATGGACACCTATACACCTAGGAACCTGGAGACCCAGGGACACAAAAAAACCAAGGACCCTGAACTAGACCCAGGAATTCAGATCCTGGGGCCCAAGAACTCAAGGACTCAGGGACACAGGAAGCTATGGACAGAGACTCAGGATAAGAGACTCAGGGACACAGGGACTTGGGGGCACAGTAACTCAGGGACACAGGGAGCTATGGACAGAGACTCTGGAACTGCTGGTCCCTCAGAAGGGACTCAGAGGGTTTTGTGTGTGCACACGTGTGTGCATGTATGTGTGCATGTGTGTGTCCATATGTGTATGAGTGTGCAAGTGTATGTCCTTTTGTGTGCATGTGTGAATGTGCACAAATACATGTTCATGTATGTGCACTTGAATGCACAAGCATGTGTGTGCATGTGTGCAAGTATGTGGCTGTGTGCACACATGTGTGCATGTGTGCAAGTGTCCATGTGTGTGAATGTGCATACAAGTGTATGTGTACAGTTATGTGCAGTGTGTGCTCATGTGTGTATATGTGTGCATGTATGCATGTGTGTGCATGACTGCAAGCATGTACATGCATATAGAGACCAGAGCCTTTTCTCCTACAGGGAGCCACCCAACCCTGCTGTCCAACATTTCACCTTTGCCCTCACGGATCTGGCCGGGAACCGGAGATTTGGCTTCTGTCGCCTGCGAGCTGGTGCTCAGAGCTGCCTCTGTGTCCTCAGGTGGGGGATGCAGGGGTCTGAAACTAAGCGGGGACAGGCCGGGGAAGATGTGGGCTTCATAACAAATACAGACACAACACCTGGGCAAAGTGCAGAGAGTAAGACTGATCAAAACACACTGTGTGTGTGCATGGCGTTCTCAAACAATACTTTGGGGGGGTTGTTACATTTGTTTTGTTTTTTAATTTTTTTTATATGTACCCGTGTTTTGCCTGCATGTACGTAAGTGCACCATAGGCATGCAATGTTCATAGAGGCCAGAAGAGGACATTGGGTCCCCTGGAACTAGAGTTACAGATGGTTGTTAGCCACCATGTGGGTACTGAAACCAAATCTGGGTCCTCTGAAAGAGCAGCCAGTGTTCTTAACCACTGAGCTGTCTCTCCAGCCCTGATTGCTTTATTTTTTGAGACAGGGCCTCACTATATAGCTCTCACTGGCCTGGAATTCCTATGTAAACCAGGCTGGAATAAAATTCATAGAGATCTGCCTGCCTCTGCCTCCCAAGTGCTGGAACTAATGGCACATCACCACACCCAGCCTCAAACAATAATTAAAAAAATAATAATAATACCAAGCCTGGGGTTGGGGAAATGGCTCTGTGGTTAAGAGCACTGGCTACTCTTGCAGAGGACCCAGGTTCCATTTCCAGCACCCACACAGCAGCTAACAACCATCTGTAATGCCAGTTCCAGGGGATCCAATGCCCTCTCTGTCAGCATTGCATTCACGTGAAGCACTTAGATACACTCAGGCAAAACACTCATACACATAACATAAAAATAAATTGTCGGGCATAGTGGCACATGCCTTTAATCCCAGCACTGGAGAGGCAGAGGCAGGCGGATCTCTGTGAGTTCCAGGCCAGCCTGGTTGACATAGTGAGTTCCAGGCCAGCTGGGGCTACAGGGAGACCCTATCTTAAAAGACCAAAAATAAATAAACAAGTAAATCTATCAATATTTTTATTAAAAAGGAGAGGACCTCTGTTTTGTTTTGTTTTTTTAAAAAAAACTACCAGGTGTAAGATACTTCCTGGACCCTAACTCTCTTCTCTCTCTCTCTCTCTCTCTCTCTCTCTCTCTCTCTCTCTCTCCCCCACCCCCCCTTCTCTCCAGTCACCTGCCCTGGTTTGAAGTATTCTACAAAATTCTGAATGCTGTGGGGGACCTCCTAGCCCAGAATCAAGTAAGCCCTCCCCGACTCTTGCTCTCATCCTAGCCCTTCTATCACTCTAGAATATGAGGACAAACCTGAGCCCCTAGCTCTTCCCAGGACCCCACAGCCTGAGCCAAGACCCTCTGAATCCCAAATCCACCTGCTCACACAAACTCCCCCTCCATCCCTCAGGTCTCAGAGGCTGAAGAGTTTCTTCAGCACCTGCAGCAACATCCGCATCCTGGATCCCGGTCTTCAAGAGGACCAGACTTGGTGAGTAGGTCTTCAGTGGCTGTGGATGCTGAAAGCCAGGCCCGGGTACCACACAGTATCTTTGTCTCCAGGACAACAGTACCAGCATCACCAGCGAGCTCCGCGTCTTGCCTCCTGCCCTGGGGGATAATAAGCTGGTGAGCAGGGCTGGGGACCGTGGAAGGTTGCTGCCCCTACCCCTGGGTGAGGCCATCTGCACTCCAGATTAACTGAGTCTCCCCACTAACGCCCCCCATCAGCTTTCTTGTTTTGTGGCCCCGGATTCTGACCGCTTGCCTTCTATTCCCGAGAACGTGAGTAAGGCAGGGGAGGGGGACGTGACACCGATCTGTAGTGGAGGAGGGACTGGAACATGAGCTGTAAGAGAGGGGACGGCAGATCTTGGCTGTTCGCTCCACCGTCATCTTCTGTGCTTCAGCGGAATCTAACGGAGCTGGTGGTAGCGGTGACTGATCAGAATATTATCCGAGTCTTTGCGGCGCTGCTGGCAGAGAGGAGGGTCCTGTTCATAGCCAGCAAGCTCAGCACGGTGAGGCAGAACCGGCGGGCGGGGCGGAGCTCGCAATGACTCCGCCCCTCGAGAATCAGCTGTCTGACATTGGCCCCTCCCTTCAGGGGGAGGGACCTTGGGAGGCTGATTCCTTGTCTCCCTAACTCACAGCCCCGCCCTTCTGTGGAGACTTTCAGGAGGTTGCCCTATGCTTCCTCCCTCTTCAGTTCCATCCACCATGGACCAGAGCTGACCTAGCTCAGTCCTCCTCTGAAAGATGATGTTAAACTCTAGCTCCAGCTGTGGCTCAGTGGGTACAGCGCTCGCCTAGCACACAAGAGAGCCAGGTTTCCATTCCCAGCACCGCAGAAACCAGGCGTGATGGCACACGCCTGTCATCCCAACACTCAGGAGGTGAAGGCAGGAGAATCAGGAATTCAGGGTCATCCTGGGCTACCTAGTTTGAGGCCAGCTTGAGGTACCAGAGACCGGCATCTCGAAGAAATTAAAAAAAAAAAAAATCATCCTGGCATGGTGGCGCACGCCTTTAATCCCAGCACTGGAGAGGCAGAGGCAAAGGGATCTCTATGAGATCCCTCCAGCCTGATCTACATAGCAAGTCCCAGACCAGCTGGGGCTACAGAGAGACTTTTGTAGCAAGATGGATCAGCGGGTAAAGGCACTTGCTGCCAAGTCTTGGATCCACAAGGTGGAAGGAAAGAACAGACTCCTGCAAGCTGTCCTCTGACCTACATTAATTAAACTTCTAGCTCCTGGCTTTCCCTCACAGTCACCTGAAACTCCAGCTCTAGGGGAACTGACACTTCTTGCAGGCACCTGCTCTCAAGAGCACAACACACATGAACACACCTACACATAATTTTTTAAGATTCATTTTTCCTTGGGGCTGGAGCTATGGCTCAGTGGTTAGGAGCACTGGCTGCTCCTGCAGAGTGCTGCAGGCCTCCGAGTGTGTGGTGTGTGTTTTGCTGTTGCTGCTACTGTTTTATGGTGTTAGGGATGGAACCTAGAACCTTGCACATTCAAGGCGGGCTAACCGCTGAGCAAAACCCCGAGCCTCATTTTGTTGGCTGCTTTGTTTCATGTTGTGTTTATTTTTTTTTTTTTGAGACAGCCTTTCCCTGTAACCATACTGTCCTGGAACTCGCTATGTAACCCAGGCTGGCCTTAATCTCATAAAGATCCCCCTGCCTCTGCCTCCAGAGTACTGGGAATAAAGGCATGTACCACCACGCCCAGCCCTCAGCTCTGAATATTTTTTTACTTGAACAGGTAGAATACGAAATGATCAAAATTTGGCCCCCACCTCATTCCTAAAATGGTCTGAATTCTCACTGGTAACCTCACCAATGGGTGAAAGGAAAGCAGGACAGGAGAACCGGGGAGATCTGAGTCACCTTGTCAAAGATGGGGATCTGTGAAATGGGGAGACCAGGACCTGACTCTCCCCTCTGCTTTGTATCTGCAGCTGACATCCTGCGTGCATGCATCCTGCGCCTTACTGTACCCTATGCGCTGGGAGCATGTGTTGATTCCCACGCTGCCCCCACATCTGCTGGATTACTGCTGGTGAGAAACTCAGGGCTGAAGGGTGGGTGAACAACAGGAGGCTTAGACAAAGCTGCTCACAGTAACGCCCACCTTTAGCACAGCACCCTGGAGACAGGAAGGTGGATCTCTGTGAGATTGAGGCCAGCCTAGTCCACATAGCAAGTTCCAGACCAGCTAGGGTTACAAGAAGACCCTGTCTCAAAAAAAGAGGCTGGAAAGCTGATTCAGCAGTGAAGAGCACTGGCTGCTCTTGCAGAGGACCCAGGTTAGGTTCCCAGCACCCACATGGCAGCTAACAACAATCTGCAACTCCAGTTCCAGGAGAGCCAACGCCATCTTCTGGCCTCCACAGGCATTTGCATGCATGCATGGGTGCACTTAGGTGCAGGCAAAACACTGATACACATAAAATAAAATAAAAATAATTTTAATCAAGTGTTCCAGGCTAAGCCTGGGCTACAGAGTCAGACCTTGTTTCAAAAAAAAAAAGAAAAAAATCAAGACTTCCAGTCTGGTGTGGTGGTGCATGCCTTTAATCCCAGCACTTGGGAGGCAGAGGCAGGCAGATCTCTGTGAGTTCAAGGCTAACCTGGTCTACATAGTGAATTCCAGGCTGGGAGTACAGGGAGACCCTGCCTCAAAAAGATAAAAAAATTTTAAAAAAAGACTTTCAAGCTAGCCTGGGATACATAAAGTGAAGGGAGAAGCTTGGGGACCTTGGGAAGGAAACTCCATCACCCCATCTGGGTTCTCTCCACAGTGCACCCATGCCTTACCTCATTGGAGTGCACGCCAGTCTCACAGAGGTGAGTGCCAACCCACAAGAAAATTCCCTCCCTCTACCGAGGACCCCCAGACTCGGACTGACTGTCCCCCTTTGTTCCCTGTAGAGAGTTCATGAAAAAGGACTGGAGGATGTGGTAGTATTAAACATTGACTCTAATACTTTGGAGACACCCTTTGATGATGTGCAAGCTCTGCCCCCAGATGTGGTTGGTGTCATCTCCTCCCAGTGCCCTGCTTCTCATGATGGAACCTCCATCTCTGTCCACTTAGGGTCTCTTCTTTGTCTGCAGGTGTCTCTGCTGAGGCTTCGGTTAAGGAAAGTCGCCCTGAGCTCTGGGGAAGGGGTGTCCCGTCTCTTCCTTAAAGCGCAGGCTTTGCTCTTTGGCGGGTACCGAGATGCACTTGTCTGCACCCCAGTGAGTAGCAGGAGCCTGGGATGTTCCCCAAGACAGCAACCCTGAAGGATTTGCAATGTGAAGGACAGCTAGTGGGGTTTTGGTCTCATTATTTTGAGACAGGGGCTCATGTAGCACAGGCTAGCCTGGAACTCCCTATGTAGCTAAGGATGACTGTCACTGTGCCAGGTTTATGTGGTGCTGGGGAATCAAACCCAGGGCCTCATGCATGCTAAACAATCACTCTGCTCACTGACTTACAGCTCTGGCCCACTTAGCATTTATTATTCATGGGGGAAGGGGTCATGCATGCCATAGCACACATGTGTAGGTCCAAGCACAACATGGGGGAGTTGGTTCTCTCTCCACCATGTGGTTCCCCAGGATTGAACTCAGGTTGTCAGGCTTAGCAGCAAGCCCCTTTTACCCACCATGCCATCTTGACAACCCATACCTGGCATTATTTGAAGAGCTTACCTTCTGGTTCTCTGTTCTTCCCTATAAAATGGAGTATGACTTAAGACCACTTAAGAGGGTCCTCTGAGGCAGTAATAGGCATATTTGTGAACTTTCAGTACTGCCTAGCAGATAATGAATACTGAATAAATACTAGGTATTATTATTATTACTGTGTTTTGAGCAGCCTCTGTGTACCAGGCTGCACTGGAACTACCTATGTAACCAAGCAACAATCCCCCTGACTCAACAGCCCAAGTGCTGTTACAATGGGCATTCACACCCATGCTATTAATGGTATTTATTAGGTTTTTGAGACAGGGTCTCCCTGTAGCCCTAGCTGACCTGGAACTTGCTATGGAGACCAGGTTGGCCTCGAACTCACAGAGATCCGCCTGCCTCTGCCTCCAGAGTGCTGGGATTAAAGGCCTGCACCAACACACCATGGCTATTTAATATCAATGTCACAATATTATGAGATGAACCGGCTGTTGCCACATCTCAAGGACCCTGATCCTGAAGGCAAGTCCTCCCCTGGCTCAGGAAGCCCTTCACACGGTCAGGTACACAGCAGGAGCCCAATCAGTGCTTGCTAGGTAGCTGTGTGGTTGGAAGGAGGAAAGTCGGGGAAAAGGAGAGCCCCAGGGAGGTCAGAATGGGGGTGCTTCCTCTTCTAGGATCAGCCGGTGACCTTCTGTGAGGAAGCATTCTTGGGCCAGAAAGCTGGGGCTCCACTGCAGGCCTTCCACAAGAGGGCGGTGCACCTGCAGCTGTTCAGACAGGTGAGCGGTGGGGTGGGGGGAGGCTAAGGATGAGCGCAGGGCCCTGGGGCGGGACCTCCGGGACCCGCGAGGTTGCGGTGCGAGTCGCCGCGAGCGGGGTCTCTGGGGAGAAGTGGGGATGGATGGCTGGTTCCTAGAGGAGGGATCTGGCCTGAGCGACGGGGAGCGTGGGATATCTGGTTTCTAGGGTGTCTTCAGATTCCGGGGGCTTCTGGAGGAACCTGGGGCCACGAAGCCTCCCACATCCTCAGCCGGCAGCAGACGCGGCCCTGGAGTCTGAAACTGAGCCTTTCTCTCCCCCAAGTTCATCGAAACCCGACTTGAGAAACTCAACTCTGGGGAAGGCTTCTCAGACCAGTTTGAGCAAGAGATTACCTGCTGCGGAGTTTCCTCAGGTGAGCCCCGGCGTCCCCACCCCATCAGCACCCCAAACCTGTGCCTGACAGTGGATCATAATCTTCCTCAGGTGTACTTCGATCCTATCAGCTCTGGGCAGATAATCTCAAGGTAATAAAACCAATCTTGGCTTGTTTATAACCACATTAACCTCGCTAGTCATCTAGGTCCCGGGGAAGTGCTCGCTCACTGGTGGAGGCTCAGAGAGGGAGAGTGGCTTGCCCAGCAACACAGCCCGAGGTGGGGAGCGGGGTCTGGGCTGATGACCCCCAAGACCCCAAATTTCTGATTTCTTCCTCTCCCATTCCCAGAAAGGTGGCGGGGCCCTCTTGCATTCCGTTAAGGCCAAGACCCAACCAGCTGTCAGGAACATGTGTCGTTCGGTGAGGCTGGGCTGTTTGGCTCAGACTGGCTGGGTGACCAGGAAGAAACAGAGGGAGTGTGCATGTGTGTGCCCGTGCTTGCAGAAACTGGAATCAACATCCTTATTCACTATCTACCTTGTTTTCTTTTTAATTTTTAAAATTACATATTTTAGCGGGTGCACAGTGGTGCACACCTTTAATCCCAGCCACTCTGGAGGCAGAGACGGGGATCTCTGAGATCTAGGCCAGCCTACATAGCTAGGGCTACAGAGAGACTCTCTCTCTCTCTCTCATATATAGTGTGGAGATCAGAGAATAACTTGCAGTTCTCTCCTTCCACCAAAGTGTGTCCCAGGTGTTGACCTCAGGTCGGCAGACTTAGCAGACAGAATTTACCTTTACCTGATGACCCATCCCGCTGGTCCCCACGTTAGTTTCTGAGACTGTTTCTCACTGAACCTGGGGCTCACTGACTCACTAGCCTGGCTGGCCAGTGAGTTCCAGGGCTCCACCTTTCTGTGTGTCTCCCCGGCACTGGGGTTACAGATACCCACCACTGCACCCAGCTTTTTAGTGGGTTCTAGAGCGCCAAATCAGGTCCTCCTGCTTTCAAAGCAAGCACTCCACCCATTAAGCTGTCTCTCCAGCCCGATAGAGGGTTTTGGGGGGCAGAGGCAGGTGGATCTCAGTGAATTCAAGACCAGCCTGGTCTATATAGTGAATTCCAGGCCAGCTGGGGCTACAGGGAGACCCTGCCTCAAAAAACCAACAACAAAAAAATCCTTACAGGGAACAGAATATTTTAGCCTCAACAAGTATTGAATATACAGTTTCTTCTTTTTACTTCTCCATGTTTAGTTTTCATTTGCCATATGCATTTCTGCTAGAAGTGTTTCTTGGCCATTTTAATCTGACAACCAAACTTGACCTCTTCACACACACCTGTCACCCCAGCACTTAGAGGCAAGGGGATCAGGAGTTCAAGGCCAACCTCAGTTACACAGAGAGAATTTGTGGCCACCCTAGGATACAGGAGACCCTGTTTCAAAAAAAAAAAAAAAAAAAATTTAAAAATCAGGGCTGGAGAGATGGCTCAGGGGTTAAAAGCACTGGCTGCTCTTGCAGATGACCAGGGTTCAGTTCCCAACACTCACATGGTGGCTAACAACCATCTGTAACTCCAGTTCCAGGGGATGACGCCCTCTTTGGCTTCCTCAAGCAATGAAGCAATGCATGACACATATATGCTGGCAATACACTCATACACATAAAAATTATTAAAAATAAATGAAACTAAGCACACAGAACAAAACTGATAGCTAAGATTCATTAACTAATATCTTCTGTTTCTTAGACAAAATTCCAGGCTTCCATACTTGTGGGGGGTTTTTTAACTCCAAGTCTAAAAATGAGTTCATTTGATTTTTTTTTTTTTTTTTGGGCTTTTGGAGACAGAGTCTCCCTGTAGCCCCAGCTAGCCTGGAGCTCACTATGTAGACCAGGCTGGACTCGAACTCACAGAGATCTGCCTGCCTCTGCCTCCCAAGTCCTGGGGTTAAAGGCATGTGTCACCACACCCAGATCTCTGCTTGATTTCTTTTATTTTATGGGTATGAGCGTTATGCCTGCATGTATGTAAGTGTACCTGTGTCGTACAGTGCCCAAAGAGGACAGATGCAGGTGGGTGTCAGATCCCCTGGAACTGAAATTACAGAGGGGTTGGCCACGCTGCAAGTACTGGGATTCAAACCTGGGCCTTCTGTAAGAAAAGCCGGTGCTCTTAACCACTGAGCCACTTGTCCAGCCCCTCTTTGCTTGACTTTAACAGTGAAACATGATTAATCTCTTGTGCCATTCCTGGTTTATGCCAGGGTGACCCTCAGGAATATCGTTTTCTCCATTAGTCAAAGCTATAGAAGTTTGTATTGACTTCTTAGGTTGTATCTAAGGACTGTTGGGAGATACAAATATGGGGTGGGTGGCAAGAGATGTCTGTCCTGGGGATCGAGGTCTGTGTCCCATCTCCCTCTGGTCTAACACTGTGTTGGATCATCCCAGGCTAAGAGTGGCTTGAAGGGTATGCAGAGCCTTCTAATGATTAAGGTAAGCCCAGCAAACTCCCCCATCCATGACCAATTCTTGGGAGTGGGGATGGTTCCCCCACCCCTAGCCCATGCATGCCTCCTCTTTATAGGATGGAGACTCTAACCTGCAGAGGGGGGGCTCCTTGAGAACCCCAAGCCTGGTCAGCCGCTCAGACCGCCTGCAACAGCGCCTACCCATTAGCCAGCACTTTGGGCAGGTGAGGATGTTCCACCCAACCCTCCTCTAACCTCTCAGAGTCTCACCAAATCCCCCCAAACCCCAGGGCTCAGTGGACTACCTCCTCTCCTTTTGTTGCTTTGCTGTTAATTTGAGACAAGGTCCCAAGGCTGTCCCAAGCCCAGGGTACCCTCAAACTTACTGCGTAGCTGAGAATAACCCTGAAATCATGATCCTCCTGCCTAGTTTATATGGGGCTGGGGATGAAACCCAAGGCTTCATGCGTGGTAGAGAGGTACTATACCCACTGGCATACAGTCACACCTTTTTGTTTTTGCTCTTGTTTTTGAGACAGGGGCTCCCTGTAGCTCCAGCTGACCTAGAACTTGATATGTAGCCCAGGCTGGCCTCCATCTCAGAGATCCACTTGCCTCTGCCTCCTGAGTGTTAGGATTAAAGATGTGCACCACCACACCCAGTTGTTTTGTTTTTTTGAGATGGAGTCTCACTTCGTAATCCAGGCTAGCCACAAACTTGCAGTCATCCTCCTGCCTCAGCCTCCAGAGTGCTAGGATAACAGGCATGTACCAAAAAATGCAGCTTTCTCCTCCCTTATTTTAAAATTTGGTGCCCAAGCCTGGCATGGTGGCACACACCTTTAATTCCAGCACTCAGGAGGCAGTGGCAGGTGGATCTTCGGAGAGACCAAGGCCATCAAAACAAAATAGCCCTCACCCTCAACTCGCCCTCCTCTGGCAAGCCCAAGCTCATGGAGCCACACTCATCTCTTCTAGAATCGGCCTCTCCGCCCCAACAGGAGACTCAGGCTAGAAGAGGGACCCTCGGAACCCCTGGGGAAGAGGTAAGAATTCAAGCAGGCAGGTCAAAGCTGGAGGTACAAGACCATGATTCATAGGAAGGGTATCCTCAAATGTTGGAACAGCCCCACCAGCCCCACCAAAAGAATAATCTGGCCAGGCATAGTGGCATATGCCTTTAGTCCCAGCACTTGGGAGGCAGAGGTAGGCAAATCTTTGTGAGGCCAGCCTGGGCTATGTGGTGAGACTCTACCTCCAAAATGACAGAATCTCCAAATTTGTCCATCTTTAATCTAGGAACCCTTCCCTGAGCCCTGAGGACACCCAGGGTCCATGGTTAGAGGAGACTCTAGACAGCAGCTTTTTGGGGTCCGGAGAAGAACTGGATTTGTTGAGTGAGATTCTAGACAGTCTAAGTACAGAAACCAAAACTGTGGGCAGCCTGAGGCCCAGCCAGAGTTTGGACTGTTGTCACCGAGGGGATCTGGATGACTGCTTCAGTCTGGTGAGACCCTCTCCCCAACCAACTGCCCATCCAGCCTTCCAGCTCCTTCCCTCTTCTAGCATCAACCATTGAGTTGCTTCCTCCTTCCTGCTCCATCCAGCCTGACACACCAGGAAGGTCACCATGGGAACCGGAGGAGGAACAGGAAAGACCCCTGGTCTCTCAGCCTCAGTCCCTGCCCACCGACCTGTCCTCTCTGAGGGACACCCCATCTTTACATGCCACCAGCTACTCACAGGACTTCCATTTCCAGAAATCATCAGCCTCTCCGTCTGCATCTTCAGACCCCAGCAGCCAAGCGGACCCCAAATCTTCTCCCACCCAGCCGGATTCTAGAATCTCACACAGCCCCACTCAGCTGAGCCCGCCAGAAAACCCCCAACTTCTGGCCCCACCAAAGTCCAATTCTGATACTGCCCAGACATTACAATCCACTCAGTCTTTGTCACACCCCAATTCTCCAGTGAACCCCAGAAACCAGCCTCCCCAGGTCTCAATATCTCGGGCTCAGGTCCAGACCCTCAGGGACCCAGAAGCTCCTTCTTTCTGCACATCTCCCACAAGCAACTGGCAAGAACCCCAGGCCAGGAGAACTCGAGTAGCTGACCTGAAGAAATACTTTGAAAGTTAAGGATCTAGGGAGGACCCCAGCCCTCAATAAATCTGATTTTCTCCTAAGTTATTTGCCTGGGGTCTTCTCTGAGTTCAGAACGCAACCCCACCCACCCCCCTACCTTGAGTGACCTCTAAGCACCTCCAGCATGCAGATGCATCTAAAAACCCCTCCCTCCCGGGTGGCACACACACCCCAACTTCAGCCTACTAGGATCTCGGTGACCTTAGAATTCACCCTTGTTCCATCTACCCTAATATTCCCACCAGCTCAAAAAAAAAAAAAAATCTTTATTATACCTTACTACCAATTTCATATAAATATATAAAAAGAGAGGCCCCCACCCTCTCTTTGCCCTCAAAGGTAAAGTCTTTGAAGAACTTTCTTCCCATCTATTCTTAAGCATTGAGTAACTGCCCAGACAGTGTTGCTGCCTTGCCCCATCGTCACACAGCAAAGGGAGGGTGGATGATAGGGAAGGAGAAGGGGGTGGAGCTAGATGGGCAAGCAGCCCCGAACCGGCTCCTTGGAGTCCTGGGGGGCCCGGGCCTCTGCTGCTGCATGGGAAAACTGGAAGAAAGACAGGAGGTTTGTTCGGCTTGTAGTCATGGTAGAGGACACACCAGAAGCAGGATCACATGAGGTAAGTAGTGAGAAGGTGAGTCCCCTGGCCTGGCACCCTTAGCTACATGCAGAGCCAAGCAGAAGAGCATGCCTCAGAGCCCACCAGCTGGGCGCCCCTGGGTTCCCCCACCCCAAGTCCTCCTGAGCCATCAGAGGTTGGCTGTCTCCAAGGTGTGCTGAGGTGTGCTAAGGTAGTCCTGGGAGGTGGTGGCAGCCAGTGACCCGGCCCTCCCGGCATTCAGATGAGCCGCTCCTCCGGGGGTAACTTGAGGTTGGGGGGTGGTGGGGCGCGGGCACCCACCTGCTCCTCACTGCTGGGCCGGTAGGTGCCCTCTGTCTGCCGTTTCTCCCGGAGTTTCCGGATTAACAGGAACAGTCCTGCAGCTACCAGTAGGACAATGAGGATGGAGAAGACCACTATGATGGCTGTGATGGCCTCTGAAGACTGCAGGAGGGGGAGAGGGCAGGCTGACCAACTGTGTGTGGACCCTGTTTACCCCCCTAGGTCGCATCCGGGCCCCAATACCCCCACAGGGTCCTTGTCTGCCTAACAAAACCAAACAACGATATAATTCTCTCTTTCCTTTTTTCCACCTTTGAGACAGGGTCTTCCTGTAGCCTTAGCTGTTCTGGAATCGCTATGTAGCCCAGGGTGGCCTTGATCTCACAAAGATCCACCTGCCTCTGCCTCCTAAGTGCTGGGGTTATTAAAGCACACCACTCTCCACCACACCCAGCTAGTTTTCTTTCCTTCCTTTTATCCCTCCCTCTCTTCTTTTTGTGTTATTTGTTCTTTTTTAGCTTGAGACAGAATCCCATGTAGCCAAGGCTAGTCTCAAATTTACTATGTAGCCACGGATGAACTTCTGATCCTCCTGCCTCCACCCCTCAGGTGCTAGACCTAGGACTACAGGTGAGTGTCACCAAACCCAGCCTTTTTATGGTCTTTTAGTTCTCACTGTATAGTCCAGGCTGGCCTCAAACTTATGGCAATCCTCCTGAGTGCTAGGATGACAGATAGGTAACACCATACCTACCACACAAGATACAATATTCTTGTCTACATTCATGGGGGTGATCAGGGTCTTCTATCCTTCTTGGGATTCTTATATCATCTTACTGCTGGGGCTGGGCCTGCTCAGTGGGGAGAGCACTGGCCTAGTATACATGAGGCCCTGGGTTCAATTCCATAGCACTTCATAAACCAGGAATGGTGGGACTTGCTTGTCATCCCAGTACTGGAAGTGGTAAAGACAGGAGGGTCAGGAATTCAAAGTCATCCTTGGCTACATAGGAAGTTTGAGGTCAGTCTGGACTACTTGGGACCCCAATCTAAAAAAAAAGAAAAAAAAAACAACAAAGCAAACAAACAAACAAACAAAAAAACCACAGGGGCTGGAGAAATGGCTCAGTAGATGGCAGTAGACCTGGGTTCAGATCCCAGCACCCACATGGTGGCTAACAACGGTCTATAGCTCCAGTTCCAGGAGATCTGACACCTTTTTCTAGCCTCTACAGGCTTTTCACAACACAGGTGTACTTACATACATGCAGAAAATACAATCATACAGGTAAAATTTTTTAAAAATTTAAACTAGGGCTAGGGTGTATAGCTCAGTAGTAGAGCACTTGCCTAGCATGCACAAGGTCCTGGGTTCAATTACTATAATTAAAATATAATAACAATAACAATAGCTGATCATGGTGGCACACATCTTTAATCTCAGCACCAGGAGACAGAGGTAGGCAGATCTTTGTGAGATCTAGGCCAGCCTGGGCTACATAGTGAGTTCCACCAGGGCTACATAGTATAACTTTGTTTCAACCCAACCCCCAAAATAATAATATTGTCTTTACTTGTCCCAAGGGTATTCTGGCCTCTCCCACCTGGCGACGACAGTTCCCCCCACACCTTCTGTCTCTTACCACAGGCACATCCCCCCAACTCACCAGGCCCCCATTAGAGATAGGGTCTGTGGGTTCAGGTGAGCTGGTATTTGTGGAAGAATTTGGTGCTGTAGAAAAAACATTAGTTCAGGTCAGGATCTTCCCTAAACAAAACACAAAACACACACACACACACACACACACACACACACACACACACACACACACGCTGCTCCATTGGACCCCAGAAAACTGCCAAGTCTCCAGTTGAAATAGGACTGCCTGTGACTGCCTGGCCACCCAATCCATCCTTAGACCTGTCTGTTGCTCCTCTGGCTACCTTCCAGTCCTGCAGGGAATAATCCAGCACCTGGGGTCACTGGCTTGCAGACCAGAAGATGAGACCAGCCCTCCCACCCCAGCCCTCCCCCCACCCTTAAGAACTTGGGCGGGCCTCAACCTTTCTCTGGGGTATGTGAGTCACATACCCACCCCCCAGCCCCGCAGGCTCCCCAGACAGAGCAAATGCCTGGCTGGGTCCACACCTATGAAGAGCCAGCTCTGTCAGCCTGACCTCCAGGCCCCAGGCCTGTCTCTTCCAGGGCCTCTGGCTGCTTAAGACTCTCAACTATTCAGCAACTCAGGTGCCCAGTCCCTCCCCTCCTCCATCTCCCGGATCCGGTGGAACCCAAAACTCCCAGCTCGAAAATTCCAGGACTCTCAAGAACTCGCCGGTTCTGGGCCGAGCGAGGGGAGTGGGGGGTGTAGCTCAGCAGAAGAGCATTTCCTAGGCGAGTTCGACCCTGGGTTCCTGGGGTTGAGCCAGAAAAAATAAATAACTTGGGCCGGGAGTATTGGTGCAAGCCTTTAGTCTCAGGACACGGGAGGCCGACGCAGGTGGCTCTCTGTGAGTTCGAGGCCAGCCTGGTCTACATAGTTCCAGGACAGCTGGGGTTACAGGGAGACCCTGTCTCAAAAAAATAAAAAAATTAAAAAACCAAAAATAAAGCAAAATAGTAACTCCTATGGTCGGCTAGACTAACTTGCAAAGTCTTAGGCAAGAGCCAGTCCTAACACTTTAAGCCCCAACCCCCAAAGACCCCAAGTCCATTTTTTCAGTTCCGGATCCTCTCTGGGTCCCCAATGCCCAGTACTTCTGAGCCACCCCACCCCCACCCCCGCTTTTCCTAGCAGAGACCCGGTACTTCTGATCCCTCCTTCCACCCCAGCCAGCCCCGGGCGGTACCTACCTGTTTGGCCCCGGCAGGCGGGCAGCAGCGGCAGGCCCAACGCCAAGAACAGCCCCAGGCCTGGGGTCGCCATGGGCTTGGGAGACAAGTTAGTGGCACCAGGGACAGGGCTCCTCCAGGGCGCCAGTTTCTATCTCATCTTGGGGGTCTAGGAGGGTCCCTGCGACCCTGGTACCTGGCGGACCAGACAAGAAGAGAGGCCGCAACCTGGGATTGGGGGCTGGACCTAGGCTCTAGTCCCAAATTTGGCGTGTGCTCCCCGCCCTCGGCGCCAAGGGTCAGAGATTAAAGATTAACTCTACTCCTCGGCAGCGTTCCTGGGCAGGGGAAAGGGAAGAGGGAGGAGGAGTGGGAGGGGGTGGTGGAGGAGGAGGTGGAGACTGGCCAGTCTGCGGGCGCGGCCTCTTACCTGGCCCGAGGCGGGGGGGAGGGGAGGGCTAAAACCACGTACAGGTGCTCAATCCCGGGTCCGGGGCTGGAACCCCCAAGTCTCTGTCCTTCACCGGTTCGCTCCAGATTCCACCTACCCCGCCTGTTCACGTGACCCGGAAAGTTTAGTCACTCACCTGCGAAAGGAGCGCACTTCCGGCTAGTGCACCTGAGCCAGGCTGGGAGGGGCAGGGCCAAGGGGGCGGGGCCGACGCACCTGCAACTAGCTCCCACCTGCAACTGGGAAGATGCAAAAAGACAGAAGCGCGCAGGTGTCAGGAAGTCACACCTGGATTCCGGGCACATCTGTAGATGGCACAGGTGTGGAGACGCAGGGGGTGTGGCAACACCCCGAAAATGATACACATCTGTATGGAGTGGACTAGGAAGGGCAATGCCTGATGAATCCACACTTGCAGTGAGGCCTGGTGACACAGGGACTGCCATACCAGCTATTCCGGAGGGTGAAGCGGGAGAATTGCAAGTTGGAGGCCAGTCTGGGCAACTCAGTGAGACCCTATCTCAAAAAATAAACCGAGGACTAGGGGTGTGGCTTTGGAGGTAGAGCCACTGCCTAGAATTCCCCAGTGAGTGGATGGAAGCCTGGCTCACAGGGAGAACCACTCCCCCCAGTGAGAGGCAGGGGCATGGCTCACAGGTAGAGCCACCGCCTACAATCGCTAAGTAAGGACTGGGGGCGTGGCTTAGGCAAGCACCTGCCCAGGATGCTTGAGGCCCTGAGTTTCAATCCCAGTCTGGTAATCAATCAACCTATATGTGATCTAGTTCTATACAAAGATACTTACATGAACGTGTAAGTCACTGGAACTCGATTGTATAATGTATTTATGGGTAGGGAACACCTACTTGGAATCAAACCTGTGCTGTAAAGGGTCAGTTTTAAATAAAAACGCCTGTGCAGACTGAGCTCAAACGATAGGGAAACCTTATATTCACACTGAAGGACACCCACAGAGGCAAGATAAGACAGGGGTTTATGTGTGTGCTCCACCTATCAAGGAAGTGTCTGTGAGATCACTTTGATTTGGGGCACCTCCATGTGGAAACACCTTATACCCATGCTGTGGGACACCTCCAAAAAACACATGTACATGGAAACTCCTGGTAGGGATTAGAGATGTGTTTATTGGATCCACCAGTGCACCACACCTGTATGGGCAGCAGTTATGTAACCCATCCTAGACATAACTTTGAATAAATAAAATAAAATGAAAATTAATAAACAGAACATGTTATTAATAGGTGGTCATAAGCCAAACATGATGACACATAATTATTTCAGCAGTTGGGAACCTGAGACAGGAGGATTGCTGTGCTGCGTTCAAGAGGCTACAGAGTGAAAGTTTATCTCAAATAAAACAACAATATTTAAAAAATGGTCCTGAGGCAAGAGCTGGGCTCAGTTGGTTGAGTGCTAGCTCTCGGGGTTTGGGCAGCAGCATGCGCAACTCACTCCAATCATGATTGGATAAATAATCATGATTATTTATTATTCGCAGTCAAGTGGGAGCCCTGCCCCCTAACGGTGAGACAAGAAACTGCATCCGAAACCCGTGGGCGGGACTTTTAGCAGGTGCAAGGATTGCCACTGGCTGAGGCTCCGCCCCCAGGCGCCTCCACCTCCAGATCTTTATCTGCTGTGGCGCCCGGGAAACTGACCCGGGCGCTCCCTTCTCCAGCAGATCTGCGGAGAGCAGACAGCTCCGCGCCTGAATGGGTCTCGGCCCCTTTAAGAACGACTGACCGGTGATGGGGCGGTACAGATCAAGGCAATACAGGGTCAAACGGGAAGCCCCACCCAGGTGGAGCGGGCGGGCGCAGCTCACGCCGCCTCTGACCAATAGGAATTCGACTTTGCAGCCGCACCGCGTGTTGATCATCTGTTTCTCTGAATAGTAACGAGAAAGGAGATGCGCGGGCGGGATAAAGTGTAGGGGAGGGAGAACGCCGCCTGTGGATCTTCGGTTTCCGTAATCGACTGCGGAATCTGATCTGTGCGGGAGGGCAAGAAAAAAATAAATCGCTTGAAGTGGTTCTGAGTTCTTGCGTAGGTCTGGGAAAAGCGAAATCTTGAATCCTGATGATGAGGGGTGGGCGAAAGGAGGTCGAAGGGAAACGAGATTACCAAACCTAATTCCTGGCATCTCCCTCCCAAAACCATTTAAGGAAAAGAGGGTAAACTGAGGCAAGCAGAGGCAGAATGACTGAATTCCTTAGCGTTCTACGAACCCCCAGTGCTGTCAAATATGCAATACCAGCAACTCCTGGAATTCTTCCCACGCCCCCTGCTCCGCCCTCTGCCCCCTCCCCGCAGTCGTGCGGGTCGGGGGAGGAGATGCGAATTTTGGCGCGGGCGGGGACGGCTAGGATTGATCACATCCAGCAAGTGCAGCAGCCGGGCTGACGACGCAGGGGTTGCATTGCTGGTGATCGCAGGATCTGAACCCGCGCGGACCCCGGGGGGGAGGGGGGAGCCGTGAAGCCCGCCCCCCCGCTGAGGTCAACCCTGTCAGCCCCCCCCCCCGGGTAGGCGCCATGAGGGGGGGCGACGCGGAGCGACAGCAGCGCTGGGGTCGCCTGTTTGAGGAGCTGGACAGTAACAAGGATGGCCGCGTGGACGTGCACGAGTTGCGCCAAGGACTGGCCAGGCTGGGAGGGGGCGATCCAAACCGCAGTGCACAGCAGGTACCGCCGGACAGGACCACCCTCTCTTTGCACAGCAGCCCTTAATGCCCCGCCCGCTTGCCAGAACCTGAACTCCTGAATGGGGCGGCTGGAGCAGCCTGACACACAACCTGTGGCTGCACTCCACGACCTCTATCTCCACTCCCCCCCCATCTTGCCCACTCGTGTCTGGCCTAACGGCATCCCAAGACCTGGCCGCCAACTGCCCTGGGCCTGCAGCGGCTGAGGCTGCTAGCACCCAGTACTGTGCATATCCCCTCAGCGCTGTGGGGTAGGTAATGCTTGCCAGGGAATAGAGCATAGAGCGGGACGCTTTCGTGCCCAAGTCCAGAGAAATATCCTCTCCTGGACTCTGCACGGTCCCAGAGGTGCCCTGCTTCCACCTCCAGTGATCACAGATTTGCCACCCTAGCTGAGGCACCGCTGACCTCCGGGCCAGTTCCCCTAACCTCTTATTTACATTCCCTGCAGGTGGTTCCCTCAGCCTGGCTGGTTGTCCCAGGTTGTCCCAGCTAGGGAGTCAGTCCTGTCTGAAGTCTGCCCCCATGGGATTGTACCTATGTAGGAAGGAATTTGAGTTGGGGGTGCAGCTCAGAGATAAAGCATTTGTCTAGCATATGCAAAGACCCAGGTTCCAGCCCCAGATTAGGAAAAAAAGAGAAAGAAAAAAGTCAGAAACTTGGTCTTCCTCCAGATATTACAAGGGACCCTCACAGAAGGGAACCTCTAGACCTGTAGCATCTTTGTCATATAAACTGCCACTATTCAGGTGGAAAAATAAAAGCTCGAAGGACCTTGGCTTGGGTCTGTTAAACCCTACAAGAACAAGGGCTCCTTCTAAGAGAAGGGTTTTATAAGAGCTGAGACTGGAGAATCAGCTGTGAGTTCAAGGCCAGCCTGAATTGTATCACGAGATTGAGATTTTTTTTCTTTTTTTGGAGACAGGGTCTCCCTGTAGCCCCAAGTGGTCTGGAACTCACTCTTGGAGACCAGGCTGGCTTGTAACTCACAGAGATCAGCCTGCCTCTGCCTCTAGTGCTGGGACTAAGGGCATGTGCCACCTTGCCGAGCTGCATCATGAGATTTTAAAACTAAATAAAGCCAGATGGGGCACATGACTATAATCCCAGCACTCAGGAGGCAGAGGCAGGTGGATCTCTGAGATTGAGGGCAACCTGGTCTACTTAGTACCAGTTCAGCTGGGGCTACAGGGAGACCCTCTCTCAAAAAATCAAAACTAATTTTTTTTGGTCTTTTTGAGACAGGGTCTCCCTGTAGCCCCAGCTGTCCTGGAACTCACTATGCAGGCCAGGCTGGCCTTGAACGAGATCCACCTGCCTTTGCCTCCCCAGTGCTGGGATTAAAAGCGTGTGCCACTACAATGGGCTCTAATTTACATTTGTACCAGTGTATAAAGGTTTCCTTTTCTCTGAAACCTTGCTAATCAATAAATTAATTTTATTTATTAATGAAATAATTAATTTAGTGCCATGGTGTATGCGTGGCAGTCAGAGGATGGGATTAAAGGCATGCGCCACCACACCGGGCCCAATTAATTAATTTTTAAAAAACTAAATAGACCAGTTGTGGTGGTGGTACACACCTGTCATCCCAGCACTCAGGAGGTAGAGGCAGGACAATCAGAAGTTCAGCTACATAGAGAATTTGAGGCCAGCCTGGACTACATGAGACCTAGTCTCCAAACACCAAAAACTGCCTAAGGTTGCCACTTCTCAATTCCGTGACCTTGAACTGGTTCCTTAACTGAAGAGCACCTCAGTTTGCCTACCAGGAAAACCAAGCAGCACTCAAACACACCTCCTTGTGGTTTGCAGGGCATCTTGCTGAGAAATGAGCTAAGGGGGGGGGGGGGGGATATCTCCCGCCCCCCCTTGTTTGAGGTGGGGGAGGGGGAATGACTGAATTCCTGAGGTTTAAGGCTTGTTGTAACTCAGCCCACCCCCAGGTGGGGGTGCAGCCTGCTGGAGTCCCCTTTGTCTCCTTTTCTGTCCTCCAGGGCATCTCTGAGTCCGATGGTGGCCTCAGCCTTGAGGAATTCTCCCGATACCTGCAGGAACGTGAACAGCGCCTTTTGCTCATGTTTCATAGTCTTGACCGGAACCAGGACGGTGAGGGTTCCAGGCTGGGGGATGGGCAGATGGGTTAGAACCCACAGAGCAAGGGAAAGGGGGAGGGCTGCCTCTGACTCATGGGCTATTTTGGGAGTTCTCAGCCCCAACTAGGTGGTTCAAGGCTGTACCAGCCCAGCCCTACCCACTCCTACTACCCTGGTTTACAGTAGGGACCCTTGCTACTCACCCTTAAGTATTTGTCAGGGACAGTTACAGGGAATCTAGGTTACAATAACAATTCCTTGCTAGCTGTGATGGCACATGACTTTAATCCCAGCACCCAGGGGCCAGAAACAAGTAGATCCCTGTGAGATCAAGGCCAGCCTGGTCTACAGCATGAGTGCTAGGCCAGCTGGGGCTACTGGGAGGCCCTGTCTCAAAAAAGAAACAAGAAAAAAAACCAACAAACCAAGTGTCTTTGAGATTCTAAATGTTGCCTTAGGGTTGAAGAGACCCTAGCTCAGGAGGTAAAGGGCTTACCACAAGGATTGAAGACCTCAGTTCCAACCCTAGCACTGTGCTAGGTGTGAGGTGTGGTGATGCACACCTGCAACCCCAGTGTTGGAATGAGGGGGGGGGCACTGGATGACCAGCCAAGCCTGATTAGTAAGTTCCAGGGTCAGTGAGGGACCTTGTCTTAAAAGTAAGGCAGAGGGCCAGTGAAATAGCTCAGGAGGGTAAAGGGGCTTGCTGCCAAGTCTGATGACCTGAGGTCAGTCCCCAAGACCCACATGGAGGAGGGATTCCTACAAGTTGTCCTCTGATCTCCATACTCATCACTCCCCCCAACACACACACTATAAATAAATAAATAAAAATTTTAAAACTTTTGAGACAGGTTCTCACCATGTAGCCGTGGCTGGTCTGGAACTCACTATGCACACCAGGCTGGCCTCAAACTCAGAGATCTGTCTGCTTCTGCCTCCTGAGTGCTGGGGTTAAAGGCATGCCTCATGCCTGGAGATACCCTGGTCTTGTTAGCCAAATCCCCAAAGTCCTAATGCTTGGATCAAGTGTCTCCTGGTGTCTCCCACATCTCTTCCTACAATGGGTCCCCCTTTTCCAGGTCACATTGATGCCTCTGAAATCCAGCAGAGCTTCCAAGCCCTGGGCATCTCCATCACGCTGGAACAGGCAGAGAAAATTCTACATAGGTGAGTCACTGGAGGTTTAGGCCGTTGGGAGCCCCTCTCCCTTTAGGCACCTCCATCTTCCAAGTTGCAGACCCAGGTCCAGAGATGGTGGAAATAATTAATTGGAATTTGGAGTCAAACAGATTTTAAGTGGTGATGCGGTTCTCCTCATATGGTTGGTGTGAAGGATGGGCACAATGTAACTCAACCCCCTAAATATATTAGTGCCAGAGCTGGTGATGGCTCCACACCAGGGACCTGAACCTGGCTTCCCAGCACTTGAGAGGCTGAAGACTGGAGGACTGCTCTGAGTCAGAAATCAGACTGAGCAAGAGAGTGAGACCCTGTCTCAAAAATCCTCAAAAATGCCAGAGGGACAGCTCAACAGTTAAGAGCACTGGCTGCTCTTGCAGAGGACCTGGGTTCAGTTCCCAGCACCCACACATTTGTAACTCCAGTTCCAGGGGAATCTGATGCCCTCTTCTGGCCTCCATAGGCATTGCATGCATGTGGTGCACATACATACATGCAGGCATATATATTCAAATAAAAAATACATAAAAAATTAAAATACAGATGCTGTAAAAGACTGTGTGCTCTCTGTGCTTCCCAAATGCACACAGCCAAGCAGCATCTCCCCCTCCCAAAGCCCAGACACTGAGCCAGCATCCCTTTCTTCCCAGCATGGATCGGGACGGCACCATGACCATTGACTGGCAGGAGTGGCGTGACCACTTCCTCCTTCACTCCCTGGAGAACGTGGAGGACATCCTATATTTCTGGAAGCATTCCACGGTAAGGTGGGGTGGCCCACATGGGCTGGGGGGGGTCCTGGTTCCAGTGTCACCAGGCCTTGGAAGGGCTGGCTAGGTCTCTGGAGGCATCATGAACAGCTGGGGCTCACTCAAAGAAAGCCCTGCTCCTTTATTCTTGCATTTGGGTTTCAGGAACCTGGAGCCTCCCCACCCCTGTGGACATGGGAACTTCAGAGCCAGCTGGTGGGAGTTGGGGATAGAGGGGAGAAAGAATTCACTAAGTAGAGCCCTGGGGCTTCCCTTTTCAACCCACAGAGCCCTGGGCTGCAGAGTTCTCACCTGGTTCAGGGTTCAGGGTCTCTGCAGTGAAGCAGCGCATGTGCACAGATGCTGATTTTGGAGGCTCCAGTGGAGTTCACCAGAAGTGGAGAAATGGGTTTGCCTTGGGTCCCCCATGTGGGAATCACCAAGTATCTGTTGGTATCCTCACGGGATCCATCCATGGAATCTGATGGTGTCTTCAGGGGGAATCTCTCAGTGGAATCTGACGGGAGCTTTGCATTGATTTTTCCTGGGAAGACATGAAAAAATGTCTATTCTCTCCAGATAGGGTGACAAACCAAAGTAAGGATTCTACCAAAGTTGTACTTGGGGAGCCATGCATTGATGATCTTGCTTATGGAGTTCAGTAGCATCACCGTGGAATCTGCATCATAGGGTCCCCTTCATTTAACTTTCCACTTCCTGTATGCTCCAGTGCCTCCCAGGGTCACTTGTGGCTAGGGAGGGGCAAGAGCGAGATGGATGGAGCCAGGTGAGGTTGTGGTAACCCCTGCTCTCACCTCCTATTAGGGCATTCACAGCTCCATTACCACAAACCCAGCTATCACCAGATTGTTCCACTCCTCTCATTGCCAAGGCTGCCAGGCCAAGGCAACCTCTACCCCAAAATGGTGGTGGGGTGACCAGATTATGCCTGGAAGAAAAGCCATTCTTTGACAGTCTTCCTGTAAGATCCAGAGGCATCCGCACCCCAAGATCTGCAGGTGCCTTGAGTGGGAAGTCTATGGCTAAACTCCAGAGGGGAGAAGACTCTTGGGGAAGACTCCCAGAGAGCACTCTAGATGGAGGAGGATTCCAAAGGGGAGAGGAGTCCCAGAGGAGGACGGAGGACTCCTGGGAGAGGATCCCTAGGGAAGCACTCCTGAGGGAGGACTCCTGGGGGAGGACTCCCCATTGAAGAGATCACTGTGAGAGCTTGTGAGGTCCCAGGAGGGAGCTGCTGGGGTCCTTGCTTAAGTTCCTGGAGGGCTCCGTGTGACCCTGGAGGGCTCTGTGTGGCTGCATTGGCTAGGCTGTGGGGGATCCTTATTGGCCAAAGCTTTCATTGCGGTCTTTGCTAAAATCTAGTGGCTTCATGGCTGGGATCCAGTGGATCTTTCAGTGGGACCTGAGGGATGGTTTGATGGAATCAGTGGATCCTGGGTTGGGGCTCAGTGGATCACCTGCAGGTTTTGTTGGGTCCTCTGGTAGAATCCAATCTAATGGATTATTTAAGATTCAGTGGCTATCTCCGTGTGACCTGGTGGATCTTTTGGGGGACTTATGGATCTTTTGGTGGGGCTCCATGTAAGGAATCTGAGGATCTTACAAGGAGACTGCAGAATCAGATGTTTTAGTGGCATGTAGTGGGATCCAGAAGGATCTGCTAGGTTCCTTTAGTTACTCTGGGATGTTGTCTTAGTTTGTTTCTCCATTGCTGTGACAAAACACTCTGACCACTACCAACTTGGGGAGGAAAGGGTTTATTTATCTTACATCTCCCGGGTCACAGTTCATCAGGGAGCCCAAGATAGGAACTCAGGGCAGGAACCTGGAGGCAGGGGCTGGAGCACAGGCCATAGAGGAACGCTGCTTATTGGCTTGCTCACCTGGCCCCTGCTCAACTTGCTTTCTTATGCAACACAGGCCCACCTGCCCAGGGGTGGCACCACCCACAGTGGACTGGGCCCTCCCACAACACTCATCAAGAAGATATGGCCACAGGCCAGTCCAATAGAGGCAATTCCCCCATTGAGGCTCCCTCAACCCAGGTGTGTCAAGTTGACACTAAAGCTATCTAGCACAAATCTCCTGGAATACATATAGGAGACTCCCTCAAAGTCTCCCCACCTAGGCCATGACATGACTGACACCTGTAGGCCCCGTCCTTAGGTTCTGGACATCGGTGAGTGTCTGACAGTGCCTGATGAGTTCTCTGAGCAGGAGAAGCTAACAGGCATGTGGTGGAAACAGCTGGTGGCTGGAGCAGTGGCAGGTGCAGTGTCACGGACAGGCACAGCACCTCTAGACCGCCTCAAGGTCTTCATGCAGGTGAGAAGCCCTCATGGTACACACCCCATTGTCCAGACCTAGGACCTAGAAGAACATCACCAAGTCACCTGATCTCCCCACCCAGGTCCACGCCTCAAAGTCCAACCGGCTCAACATACTGGGGGGCCTTCGGAGCATGATCCAAGAGGGGGGTGTCCTGTCCCTCTGGAGGGGCAATGGTATCAACGTGCTCAAGATTGCCCCCGAGTCAGCCATCAAGTTCATGGCCTATGAACAGGTGGGGGGACGCAGGTCCAGAAGAGGGGATGTCAGCTTGGGGAAGGAAGGCGAGGCTAAACAGGAGCCATGGGGGATGGCTGCCAGGAGGGGAGGGGAGATGGCTGATATACATGGGTCCCCTAAACAACAACCCCTGCTGACCAGCTCTGTGGGAGCTGGTTCAATCCCAGAAGTCCCTCTCTACCCTCAGATCAAACGGGCCATCCGCGGGCAGCAAGAAACACTGCATGTTCAGGAACGCTTCGTGGCTGGCTCCCTAGCTGGAGCCACAGCCCAGACCATCATCTACCCTATGGAGGTAAGGAGGGGACATGAGGAGACAGATACCCAGTATGGGGGGAGGTGGCAGGCACTGCCAGACTATTTTGTTCCTTGTTTTACACTATGTGTGGAGACTGTAATTGCTTCCCATAACTGGGACCATTTCCCATCTATCTTGTCTGGATGTCCTGATTTGAGACACATCTACTACGGATCATATCACTGGTTAGAACTGCTTGGACAGTAGTCATGGTAACTGACCATTTATGGACCTGTGTCATTTGAGGAAAGTGCTTGTTCCTAAGGTATGAGCCAGAGGTTGACATTGGATGTCTTCCTCAATCACTCTCCACTTTTCTTTTTTCTAATGTGTGTGTCTCATCTGCATATATGTAAATGTACCATATGTATGCAATACCTACAGAGGCCAGAAGGATGCATCAGATACCCTGGAACTGGAGCTAAGGATGGTTGTTAGCTGCTTTGTGGGTACTGGGAACCAAACCCAGGTCATCTGCAAGAGCAGTCAGTGCTCTTAAGTGGTGAGCCAGATCTTCAGTCCCTCCACATTATTTTTTGAGACAGGGTCTCTCCCTCCACCACACCCAGCTTAATAAACATTGTCAAAAATCAGGAGTTAGGGGGCTGGAGAGATGGCTCAGAGGTTAAGAGCACTGGCAGCTCTTACAAAGAACCTGAGTTCAGTTCCCAGCACCTACATGGTAGCTAACAACCATTAGTAAATCTAGTTCCAGGGGATCTGACACCCTCTGTGGGCATTGCATGGGTGCACTTACATACATGCATGCAATACACTCATACACATAAAATAAAAATAATAAGTAAAATATTTTTTTAATATCAGGAGTTAGCCAGGTGTGATGGCATCTGCCTTTAGTCCCAGTACTTGGGAGGCAGAGGTAGGAAGATCTCTGTGAGACTGAGGCCAGCCTGGTCTACATGGCAAGTTCCAAGCCAGCCTAGGCTACACAGTGAGACCCTGTCAAAAAGAAAAAAACAAAAGAAAACAAAATCGGAGTTCAAGGTAATCCTCAGATAAACAGTAAATTTAATTTTGAGACAGGCTCTCAGGCAGCCCAGGCTTCCCTCAAACTTACTTTATGAGAATGACCTTCAACTCCCAACTGATCATCCCACCTCCATCTCCTGAGTGCTGGGATGATAGGCATGTGCTACCATGCCTAGTTTATGTGGTGCTGTATATGGAACCAGGGCTTCTTGTGTGCTGTACAAGCACTCTACCCACTGAGTTATAAGCACTCTAGCCATGGAGCCACAGTCACAGCCTTTAGGGCAGCTAGTAGCTATTTGTAGAAATTTTCACAACTGGGCACAATGGATCTGGGATCAGTGTTTCCAGGGGTTGACAAAGTTCTCCCCCAGGTACTGAAGACTCGGCTGACCCTGCGCCAGACTGGCCAGTACAAGGGGCTCCTGGATTGTGCAAGACTGATCCTGGAGCGAGAAGGGCCCCGAGCCTTCTACCGAGGCTATCTGCCTAACGTGCTGGGCATCATCCCCTACGCGGGGATTGACCTGGCCGTCTATGAGGTCTGTGGACAGCGGCCCTCCCTTCCCTCTCCATTCTGGGACCTGCCCCTAGGACTCCCTTGCTCATTCAGTTGACAACTTGTAGCGAGGGAAGGACAACCCTGGGGTTGAGAAAGGGCTTAGAAGCATAAGGAGCCTTCCCAAACAGCAGACCCCTACTCTGCCAAAACAAGGTTTTAATGTTGTAAAAACCTTGTTTGGAGTTGGGTATGGCAGCACACGTATTTAATCCCAGCACTCAGGAGGCATAGGTAGGTGCATTCATAGGGAGTTCCAGACCAGCCAGGGCTACATAGTAAGGCCCTGTCTCAAATAAACAAACAAACAAATATTTTTAAAAAACAGAAGCAAAAACAAAAGCCATATTTAACCAGGTCTGGCGGCTTAGTCCTGTAATTCCAAGAGTCTGAATGCTGAGGCAAGAGAACTACTACTACCAGCTCAAAGCCAGCCTGGGCTATATAATGAATTCTAGGACAACCTGGGCAAGACCTTTTCTTTTTCTTTTTTTAAAATACTTTTTATTATTTTCATTTTATGTGTATGAGTGAATTGTGTGCATGTATGTAACTGCACCTGTGTTGTGTGATGCCTAGGATCATCAGAAGAGGGCATCAGATATCCTGGAACTGGAGCTAGAGACAACTGTTAGCTGCCATGTGGGTGCTAGGATTTGAATTAGGTCCTCTTCAAGAGCAGCCAGTGCTTTTAACTGCTGAGCCATCTCTCCAACCCCGCAAGACCTTTTCTTTTTGGTCCTGTTTGGGGGATGGAGAGCCCGCTCAGCAGTTAAGAGCACTGGCTGCTCTTACAGAGGACCCAGATTCAGATCCTAGCACCCACATGGTGGCTAACAGCTATCTGTAACTCCAGTTCCAGGGGATCCGACGCCCCCTTCTGGCCTCCATGGGCATTATACACATGTGCACTTACCTACATGCAGGCAAAACACTCATACACATAAAGTAAAAATAAATTAACCAAAAAAACCTTTTTGAGAACCCCATTTTTTCCCTGTAGTACTGGAGATGGAACAGAGAGAGACTCATACCTGCCTTCTCGGAGTTATGACCCCACCTCTGCAAGATCATCTTTGTAGTCCAACATTCTGTGGTTCTGTGGTCACCTGGGAGTTGGAGACCCCTGTAGTTCTTAGAGATCATGAGCCAAGTACAAGATGAGCCTCAAGAAAACCTGTGTTTCTCAAAGGCATGTGTGGGTTCCAGCCTCCCCTGTCTCCAGACCAAGGATTCCTTCCTTCCTTCCTTCCTTCCTTCCTTCCTTCCTTCCTTCCTTTCTTCTTTCTTTCCTTATTTTCCTTCTTTTTTTTTTTTTGGTCTTTGAGACAGGGTCTCTCTGTAGCCTCAGCTGGCCTGAAACTCGCTATGTAGACCAGGCTGGCCTCAATCTCACAGAGATCCACCCACCTCTGCCTCCCGAAAGTTAGGATTAAAGAAGTACACCACCATGCCCGGCTCTTTCTTTCTTTTCTTTCTTTCTTTCTCTTTCTTTCTTTTTTTCTTGGCAGATTCTCATGTAGCCCAGGCTGACTTCCAATTCTCTATGTAGCTGAGGATGACCCTGAACTGCTGATCCTCCTTCCTCTACCTCCTGAGTGCTGGAATGATGGATATGGTGCTAGGGATGGGACCCAGGGCTTTGTGCATGCTGAACACTCTACAAGCCAAGCACTCTACAAACTCAACCAGACACATGGCTTTTTTTTTTTTTTAACGTATGTGTATCTGTTTTGCCTGCATACAAGTGTACCTGTGTCATGCAATCCCTATGGAGGCCAGAATTGGGGCATCAAACCCCCTGGAACTGGATTTGCAGATGGTTGTTAGCCTCCATGTGGGTTCTGGGGACCAAACCCAGGTCCTCTGCAAAAGCAACAATGCCCTGAACCACCGTGTTACCTCTTCAGCCCTAGGTTCGTTATTTTTATTTTATTTTATTTTGGTCTTTTTGAGACAGGGTCTCCCTGTAGCCCCAGCTGACTTGGAACTCACTTTGTAGACCAGGCTGGCCTTGAACTCACAGAAATCCATCTGCCTCTGTCTCCCGAGTGCTGGGATTAAAAGTATGCACCACCATGCCCAGCCCAGCCCCAGATTCTTTATTTTTTTTATTTTATGTGTATGAGTGTTATGCCTGCATGTATGTAAGTGCACCCATGTTGAGCAGTGTCCTCAGAGGTCAGAAGGGGGCACTGGATCCTCTGAAACTAGAGTTACGGACAGTTGTTGGCTGCCATGTGGTGTTGGAACCAAACCCCGGTCGTCTGCACGAGCAGCCAGTGCTCTTAACTGCGGAGCCAGCTCTCAAGCACCAGATTTTTTTTTTTTTTTTTTTTTTTTTTGGTCTTTTTGACACAGGGTCTCCTGTAGCCCCAGCTGTCCTGGAACTCACTATGTAGACCAGGCTGGCCTTGAACTCAGAGAAATCCGCCTGCCTCTGCCTCCTGAGTGCTGGGATTAAAGGTATGCACCACCAGGCCTGGCTCAGATTTTTTTTTTTTTTTTAAATGAAGGGCTCACTGGGTATCACAGGATGACCTGAACTCATGGTATTCCAGTATTCCTACTGCCTCAGCCTCCTGACTGGTAAGATGACAAGCACACACCACTGCCTCTGGCAATAGAACAGATGCTCTATCTGTGTGCACATGTGTACATGTCACAAGTTTATGTGCATGTATGTGCAGGTGTGTGTGTGTGTTTGGAGGTCAAAAGATACCCTCAGATGTCATTGCTCAGGAGCCATCTTTATTTATTTATTTACTAGAGACAAAGTCTCACTGTGTAGCCCCAGCTGGCCTGGAATGCACTATGTAGACCAGGCTGGACTCCAACCACAGAGGACTGCCTGCCTCTGCCTCGCAGGGACTATGGCTGTGTGCTGCCATACCCAGTCTTCCACTGTTGCTTTGGACACAGTGTCTCGAGGACCCAGGGTTCTCCACATAACCTAGAGTGGCTCACCAGTGAGCCCAAAGGGTCCTCCTGTCTCTACTCCCAGCCTGTAGTCCCACACCTGGTCCTGACATGGGTGCTAGGGATGGAACACACATCCTCATGCCTGCATAGCAAGTGCCTTACCAACTGAGCCATCTCCTCAGTCCAGAACAGCACTTTAATGTGTGTGTGTGTGTGTGTGTGTGTGTGTATTAGACATGTGAGTGCCATGGTGTACATGTGGAGGTCAGAGGACAACTTGCAGAAGTCAGTTCTCTCCTTCCACCAGGTATTCCGGGGCTTGTGCCAGCAGGCCTGGCTTCTGTGTACCTCACCTGAATACCTCCCCCTCCACCCTCACCTTGGCCCTTCATGGCAGGCGGAACAGAGGTGCCTGTATTGTGCACACCCTGATCCGTGGAACATACCTGATCCCTGGGTTCTGGACAAACTATAACAGTTCTTAATAACTCATTAAACCCCTATTTGACAAGTGCCAATCCAGATCTAAAAGAAAGCTATTCAAAGTACAAAGACACTCGTGGTAAACACTTACTTGCTCCCTTCTCAGCCTGTCCATGGGCCAGACATTACTAATCCATCCCAGCACTGAGCCCTTCTCAACCACAGTTGCCATCCCAGGAAAACATCAATGGAATAGAATGAGCTAAAAATCAAATCTATTAACCTACCACAAAGGAAAAAAAGGGAGTCTCTGGTAAAGACTTTGTCAGGGATCTGGGGATATAGCTCAGTGGTAGAGTGATTGCTTAGTATGCCTCAGGATTCCGTACCTAGTACTACAAGGAACAGCAGGAGGAAAGGTGGGAAGAAAGGAGGGGGGGAGGCAGGAAAGAGGAACTAGGGGCTGGAAAGCTGGCTCAGCAGTTAAGAGCACTGACGGCTCTTGCAGAGGACCCAAGTTCAGTTCCCAGCACCCACATGGTGGCCAACAACTGTCATTAACTCCAGTTCCAAGGGATCTAATGCCCTCTTCTGGCCTCCATGGGCATTGCACATATATTTTAAAAAACAAAAATAGCTGGGCGTGGTGGCGCATACATTTAATCCCAGCACTCAGGAGGCAGAGTCAGGTGGACCCCTGTGAATTCAAGACCAGCCTAGGCTACAGGGAGACCCTGTCTCGAAAAGACCTAAGAAAAAAAGGGGGGGGTACTGGAGAGATGGCTCAGCAGTTAAGAACACTGGTTGTTCTTGCAGAAGACCCTGGTTTGAATCCCAGCATCCACATGGCAGCTAACAGCTGTTAGTAACTCCATTTCCTGGGGATTCGATGGCCTCTTCTGTCCTCCATGAGCACTGCATGACACAGGTGCACTTACCTACATGCAGGCAATACACACATACACATAAAATAAAAATAATAAAAAAACAATAGAAATAAATATTTTATAAATAAGCCTAGTGTGGAGGCGCACACCTTTAATCCCAGCACTCAGAAGTCAGAGGCAGATGTATCTCTGTGAATTCCAGGTCAGTCAGATCTACATAGCAAGTTCCAGGCCATCCAGGGCTACATAGTAAGTTTGAGGCCAGAGACCCTGTATCAAGAAACCAATATAGAGGGCTGGAGAGATGGCTCAGCGGTTAAGAGCACTGACTGCTCTTGCAGAGGACCCAGGTTCGATTCCCAGCACCCACATGGCGGCTGTGAACCATCCTTAACTCCAGCTCCAGGGAAATCTGAGGCCCTCTTCTGACCTCCGCAGCATTGCACGACATGGGTGCATTCACATACATGAAGGCAATACACTCATACAAATAAAATAAAAATAATAAATAAAAAAAATTTTTTTAAAAAAGAAACCAATATAGAAGCCAGGCACGGGGCTTTAATTCCAGCACTCAAGAGGCAGAGGCAGGTGGATTGCTGTAAGATTGGGGCCAGCCTGGTCTACATAGTGAGTCAAGGGCTACACACAAAAAAAATCTTAATCCTACACGCATGTCCTGCTTGCTATGAACAGTTAGCTATGTAGAAGTTCCAGGGGCACGATGTACACAATACAGAAAACCTCTGTTCCACCTGCCATGAGGGGCCAAGGGGAGGGGGGAGGGGGAGGTATTCCGGTGAGGTACACAGAAGCCAGGCCTGCTGGCACAAGCCAGTCACCACAGCACTAGAGTGGCTGAGGCAGGAACATGGCAAGTTCAAGGCCAGTCTGGGCAAGAGAGTGAGACCCTGTCTTCAACTGAAACCTTAAAAAAAAAAGGAAAAAAAAAGCAGAGGCGGGGGATGGGGAGGGAACCCTGGAGAGATGGCTCAGAGGCTAATGGCACTGACTGTTGTTGCAGAAGATGCAGGTTCGAATCCCAACACTCACATGGTGGCTAACAATTGTCCATAACTCCAGTTCCAGGGGACCCAATGCCTTCTTTTGACCTCCGTAGACATTGCATACATAGGTGCACTTACTATACATGCAGGCAATACACTCATACAAATAAAATAAAAATAAAATTTAAAAATAAATGAAAATAAGCAGGGCGTGGTGGCGCACGCCTTTAATGCCAGCACTCGGGAGGCAGAGGCAGACGGATCTCTGTGAGTTCAAGGCCAGCCTGGTCTACATAGTGAGTTCCAGGACAGGTGGGGCTACAGGGAGACCCTGTCTCAAAAAGACCAAAAAAAAAAAAGAAGAAGAAAATAAGAAAGAGCAGGGTATGTAGCTCAGTGGTGAGCCAACAGAATCCCCAGTGAGGGGCTGGGGGTGTGGCTCAGGGTAGAGTGACAGCCTAGGATCCCCAGTGAGGGGCTGGGGGCGTGGCTCAGGGTAGAGTGACAGCGTAGAGTCCCCCAGTGAGGAGCTCGGGTGTGGCATGCTGAGGGTGAGGTGGTTGAGCCTTTCAGCCATACCAGCTGGGATGGGACATAACACCGACCTGAAGGTCTTAGACACCAGGTCTTCCCATGGCCATTCTCAACCAATCCACTTTCTCCTCTCCAGACCCTGAAGAATCGCTGGCTTCAGCAATACAGCCACGAATCAGCAAACCCGGGCATCCTTGTGCTCCTGGCCTGTGGCACCATATCCAGCACCTGTGGCCAGATTGCCAGTTACCCCCTGGCGCTGGTTCGGACCCGAATGCAGGCCCAAGGTGAGGTCTGGGCAGCAGGCAGGGATAGGGAAAGGCGGCCACTTGGAGCTCCCCACACTCAACACTTTGTAGGTGGAGTCCTGGGCTGCCACCCTGAAGGGTTTGGGTGACCTTGCTAATTCCCTGCTCTTCTCTGGGCCTCGGTTTACCCGTTAGTGACAGTGGGACTCTTTTTTAAAATATTTAATGTATTATTTTTATTTTATGTGTATTCATGTATTGCCTGAATGCAGGTAAGTGCACCCGTGTCATGCAAAGCCTGCAGAGGACAGAAGAGGCTGTCAGATCCCCTGAGACTGGAGTTATTGACAGTTGTTAGCTGCCATGTAGGTGCTGGGATTCGAGCCCAGGTCTTCTGCAATAACGACCAGTGTCCTTAACCACTGAGCCATCTCTCCAACCCCAACAGTGGGACTCTTTTACCCACCCATTGGGAGCTGAGGTTTCACTAGCAAAATGGACAGAACCACAGAAGAGACTAGAAAATTCCCCTAGCTGCAGCCTAGTGCTCTAACCCTGAGCAGCTGCTGACAAGCATCTCCTGGCAAGTAGTTTGAACACTTATTTGCAAGATTGGGTTAAAAGTAGGGAGAAATGGGGCTAAGGAAAAGGATCAGCGGTACCCAACATGGGTCCTCCGCAAGAGCAGCCAGTGCTCCTCACCACGGAGCCAGCTCCCCAGCCCCTTGATTTTTGGAGGGTTTTTTGAGACAGAGTCTTGCTGGCCTGGAACTCATGGCGACCCTCCTGCCTGAGCCTCCCCATAGTTACTATTTTCCTCTGTAGTTTTCATTCATTGTCCCATGTCACTGTCCCAGAATCTGTTTCTGAGAATTTTAGGATTTGTAATTACTAATTGCGCCCCCCACACACACATACAGTAAGTACCAACGAATAAAATCAATGTGGTCTGCACCCTCAGGAACTTTCCCCCTGGAGGGACAGGAAGAGGTTAAATAAATCAATTCAAGGTACAATAAGGGAGGGGCGGAGAAGCGGACGTAGACTGGGGTCCTGGGGCCCCTTGAGACCGCCGGCTTTGAAACGGAAAATGGGGAAAGAAGTGGGATTAGCTCAAAAGAGGAGCAAATTAATTTTCAGGAAGTGGGAGATTTCTGCCCTCCCCTACCAACACACACAGATGGGACAGACAGACGGACACACACACACACACACACACACACACACACACACACACCTGCTATTCGTATTTGTCCCCAAACTTGGTCCCAAAGATTGACAGTCAATTCCAAGGCACATAGAAGGCCTTGACTCTTGTTGTAGGTCCCACTGTAAGTCTAACCTCCTCTCTCCTGCTGTAATGGCCACCTAGCCCAGCCCTGGGGTGGGATGGGGACTTCAGACTTACTTGGCCCCGTACTTCTCCCCTCCCCCAGCCTCCATCCAGGGCGGCCCACAGTATTCCATGGTTGGGCTACTTCGGCACATCCTGTCGCAGGAAGGTGTGTGGGGCCTCTACCGGGGCATTGCCCCCAACTTCATGAAGGTCATTCCAGCCGTCAGCATCTCGTATGTGGTGTATGAGAGCATGAAACAGGCCCTAGGGGTCACATCCAGGTGAGAGACCTGGAGCCTGCCACCTGGAGAGATCCTCACCCTCATCATGGCGTCCCCAAGCTGCTGTCCCCAGCCAGCAGAGACTGACAGCCTGGCCCATGGATCCTAGATCCTCTACCCCGAGCCACTGGATCCCAGTACCTCGACATCATATCCCAGACCCCTAGACCCCAACTGCTGGACCCCACATTCAACAGTCTGATGTTTGAATTACAGGATCCAAAATTAGTCACACCAGCTGGGTGTGATGGGTGTACACCTTTAACCCCAGCACTGGAAGGCAGAGACAGAGGATTTCTGTGAGTTTGAGGCCAGTCTGGGCTACATAGGGAGTTCCAGGTCAGCCAGGGTTACATAGTGAGACTTTCCTTGAATCCTTCTCTCCAGACCCCTCCATCCTGTCCTTCCACACCCCAAAGATGGACCCTACATTTCCCTGCCCCATCCCCTGGGTGCTGGGTCTTCATGTCTTAATTACCAAGATCTTCCCTGCTTCAGCAGATGGTCCTGATACTCCAACACAGGAGCACACACCCACAATACCTCATCACCCAGACCCCACATTCCTCAGACTCCACACCCAGAATCCTCAGCCACATTGGATCTTAGATCCCCAACCCCACCCTAGTGTCCCATCATCATGCCCCACACTCTGAGTCTTGGAGCCCAGCCTCTAGATTCTAGAAGTCAAAAAGTCCCAGCCACTGGATCCTGAACACGCAATGCCAAGACCCTGGGGCTCCATCGTGGACCCACTGGATCCCAGATCCCTCACCCCAACCAGCAGATCCCTCTATTCATCTACCTTGACACTGGGTTCCAGATCCTTCCACTCTGATTGCTGGATCTACACCCTCAATCTCTGACCACCAGATTCAGTTCCTAAAATCTCAACTCACTGGATTCTGGCTCCTCGTGTGGCCCAGGTGGATCCCAGCCAACCAGCACAACTGCTAGGTTCCAGGATCCAGACTCTGGATACCCAAACTTTGTCCACTGAAGGCAGACCCTAGTCGTCCCCTACCCACCAAGAGACCCCCCCCGCAAGACTTTCATTTCTGCATCCCAAGTGCCCAGCCCCCCCCCCCAAATCAAGATTCCAAACAGCCTAGTCATAGCATCCCAGATCCATATCCCAGACACACCCTGGATTTGATCCAGTGGCACAGAGCTGCACTATCTAGGGAAATTCAGCCCCCAGCCCAGTGGATTCCCGCCAGGCTGCAAAGGAAGGTGTCGCTTCCCCACCAAACCCTGTATGAATCCTGGGTCTCAGCTCAGCCACACAGTCAGACAGCCCCCACACACACACCGGGGAAACCACTCCCCCGAACCCCCTCCCTCCCTGTCCCTACTTTCTACAATGTCTTCCGAACCCCTGTCCACCTTCTGGGCTACATGAATCCCAGAGCCTAGGTCTTGCTGGGAGGGTCCAGTATACTTATTGCTCATTCTTGAGGGGATTGGGAAAGGTCTGGTAAAGAGTAGGTGAAGCTGGGGACACAGTCAAGGGGACCTCAGTATTCCAGCACTGCCAGCCCAACCTGGGCCTCAGATTCACAATTAAGGACCAACACAGAATCTTTCCCAAAACCCAGGCATCTGATTATGCAAAATTCAACATCCCAAAACCAACTCGGGGTCTATTTTTCTACCAACAGAGGAACAACACCCCCAACCCACTCCCCCATGCCCGCCTGTACCCTCTGGACATCATACTTGGATTTGATAACTGGGGGAGACTCTCCTTGACTCCCCAGTCTTTGGGGGAACCCCATGAAAGGACTGGGAAATGGGAAATCAGATGTTGGGGGTTTAGAGGACCCCACCATGGCTTCCATCTCTGCCTCCAACCTATACCAAACCCCACCTCCCTGGCTGTGTGTGTTTAAAAAAAAACAAAAAACAAAAAACAGTAGAACAAAAGAAATAAATTTTCTAAACTCTTTCATTGTAGTTTTTAATTTTTGGTCTTTTTTTTTTTTTTTAGACAGGGTCTCCCTGTAGCCCCAGCTGTCCTGGAACTCACTATGTAGACCAGGCTGGCCTTGAACTCACAGAGATCTGCCTGCCTCTGCCTCCCAAGTGCTGGGACTAAAGGCGTGCACCACCACACCTGGCCCAAAAATAATGTTCTTAACTGCTGAGCCATCTTTCCAGCCCTAAAATTACATTTTTTTTTCTTTTTTTGGAGACAGGGTCTCCCTATAGCCCCAGCTGGCCAGAAACTCATTGTGTAGACCAGGCTGGCCTTGAACTCACAGAGATTTGCCTGCCTCTGCCTCCAGAGTGCTGGGATTAAAGACATGTGCCACCACGCCCAGCTTAAAATTACATTTATTTATTTGAGAGGAGCATGTGGAGGTCAAAGGAAAAATTTGTGGGAGTCAGTTTCTCCTTACATGGGTCCTAGGGATCAATTCAGGTTTGAGACTCGGTAGCAAACTCCTTTACCAACTAAGCCATGTTGTCTGGCCCTTAAAATTTTTTATTTTATTTATTATTTTTATTTTATGTGTATTCGTGTATTGCCTGCACGTATATAAATATACCAGTGTTGTGCAATGCCCGAAGAGGTCAAAAGAGGATGTCGGATTCCCTTTAACTGGAGTTACAGATAGTTGTTAGCTGCCATGTGAGTGCTGGAACCAAACCCTGGTCCTCTGTAAAAGCAACCAGTGCTCTTAACCGCTGAGCCATCTCTCCAATTTTTTTTTAATGTGTGTAAGTGCATTGCCTGCATGTATGTAAGTGCAACCATGTTGTGTAATGCCTGCAGAGGTCAGAAGAGGCAACGGATCCCCTGGGACTGGAGTTACAGACAGTTGTTAGCCATCGTGTGGGTGCTGGGAACTGAACCCAGGTCCTCTGCAAGGGCAGTCAGTGCTCTTAAACACTGAACCCATCTCCCCAGCCCCATTTCTTTGAAAGGGTCTCCCTAGTCCCAGCCCACTTGGAAATCACTATGTAGATCAGGCTGGCCTTGATCTCACGGAGATCTGCCTGCTTCTGCCTGCTGAGTGCTGGGATTACAGACATGTACCACCACACCTGTCATTCTCTCTTAAATTTTTAAAGAATTACACATGTGTGTGCATGTGTGTGTGTGTGCACTTGAGCATGCATACCTGCCACAGCACACCTGTAGAGGTCAGAGGACAACTCACAGGAACAGGTTCTCTTCTTCCACCATATGGGTCTTACCTGGGGATTAAACTCATCCTCAGACTTGGCAGCGAGTGCCATTACCCACTAAGCCATCTCATAGGCCCATTTTTTTTTAATGAAAATGGGGTGGGGGCCACATGGAGGTGCTTCCGAGAGGCGTCAGACATGGGGCCTCTGTTGCTCCTTCCCCTTCTTTCCTCTGTCCCGTCTTTTTTGCCCTCTCTCTCTTCCCTCCCTTCCCTCCTCTTCTTCTCCAGGAGATAACCATCTCCATCTTTTGTGTGTGTGTGTGTGTGTGTGTGTGTGTGTGTGTGTGTGTATGAGTGTATTGCCTGCATGTATGTGAGTGCACCTGTGTCGTGCAATGCCGCGGAGGTCAGAAGAGGGCTTCGGATTCCCCTGGAACTGGAATTAAGGATGGTTCATAGCCACCATGTGAGTGCTGGGAATCGAACCCAGGTCCTCTACAAGAGCAGTCAGTGCTCTTAACTGCTGAGCCATCTCTCCAGCCCCCCATCTCCATCTTTAAAGGAGAGCAGGGGTGTTGGAGCTAGCTTAGCACTAAGAGCTGCTTTTGTAGAGAACCTGGGGTTCACCAATAATAACTTGTAACTAAGTTTTTTCTTTTATAGTTTTGAGACAGAGTCTCCCTGTAGCCCCAGCTGGCCTGGAACTCACTATGTAGCCCAGGCTGGCCTCAGTCTCACAGAGATCCGCCTGTCCCTGCATCCTGGGGACTTACTAAAGACATGTATCACCATACACAGCAATAAATCTTTCTTTTTTAATTTGGTGGTGAGCCAGGCATGGTGGTGCACACCTTTAGTCCCAGCACTCAGGAGGCAGAGACAGGCAAATCTCTGTGAGATCAGGGCCAGCCTGGGCTACATAGTTAATTCTAGGCCAATGAGAGACTGAGGAAGGCACCCAAGTTTGACCTCTGGCCTCCACACACATGCAGACCAAGAATTTTTGTAGGACAAGGCAGATGTGACAGATGAGACCTGTCATCCCAGCTCTCAGGACATGGAGGCAGGAGGACCCGGAGTTCAGGGTCATCCTCAGTTACGTGATGACTTCAAGGCCAGCGTGGGCTATGTGAGGCCTTACCTCAGAAAACCAAATGAATACAGACTAGGTACAGTGGTGCATGCCTTTAACCCCAGCACTTAGGAGCTATGGATCTCTGTAAAATCGAGGTCAGCCTGGACTACATAGTGAATTCCAGGTCAGCCTGGGCTACAGAGACTGTCTCCAAAAAAAACAAAAAAGGAAAAGAAAAAAAGAATAAATATTGGGTGAGGCATAACTCTTCCCAGGTCGCGGGGACTAAGATGACATTTTAGGGAGCCAAAGAGATCAGCTACACTATCCAGCCATCATGCCTGTGAGCTCACAAGCACCTCTGTGACCTCAGCCTCCCTTTGCCCCTAAATTTACAAGGCACACCCAGTAGTCAGTCACTCCCAGCTGGGAGCCGGAAGGACGCCCCAAAGGGGTGCTGACACGGGGACCCTAACCCTTCAGCTGCCATGGGAGTCCACCCTGAGGAGACTCAGGAGACTTGTTCAAGGGTCCAGACCCTGTTTAAGAGGGTCAAGGCCTTATTTGAAAAAGCCTCGCCCCCCCCACCTCCACTCCCACCCCCACCTACATCCTGGAACCTGGGGTGCACACACGTGTATGAGTATGTGTTCGGACACATGAGTGATCACTCAGCGCAGCAGGTAAGTCTGGGATGGCAGGTGGCATAGGCATGGGCCAGGACCAAAAGGAACAGTGGCTACTGCCACACCATGCCTAGCATTCCCCTCCAAGTAGATCAGAATAATCCAGGTTGAGACTAGCTTGTGGTGGTGCACACCTGTCACACCAGTACTCCAGGAGGTGGAAGCAGGGTCATCCCTGGCTACAAAGTGAGTGAGGGCAGCCTGGGCTACAGGAGACCTGGTCTCAAAAAAAGAAAGAAGGAAAGAAAAAAGGAAAGTAGCTGGGTGTGATGGCACACACCTTTAATCCCAGCACTCGGGAGGCAGAGGCAGGCAGATCTCTGTGAGTTCAAGGCCAACCTGGTCTACATAGTGAGTTCCAGGCCAACTGGGGCTACAGGGAAACCCTGTCTCAAAGCCCCCCCCCCCAGAAAAACTTAAAAAAAAACGAAAGAAGGAGGGAGGGAGGAAAGCAGGGAGGTAGGAAGGTAGGCTAGGAGATGGCTCAGAGGTTAAGAGCACTGGCTGCTCTTGCAGGGAACCCAGGTTCGATTCCCAGCACCCACATGGCGGCTACGGACCTCTGTAACTCCAGTTTCTGGGGATTCAACACCCTCTTCTGGTGTCCATGGGCATTGCACACATGTGGTGCACTTACAAACATGTAGGCAAAATACACACATAATAAGAATAAATAATAATAATAATAAAATTTTTAAAGAAAGAAATGGGGAGATGGCTCATAAAAATTAAAATTTTAATTCCCAGAATCCGTGTTAATGCTGGGCACCATAGGGGCCCACCTGTACTCCCAGAACACTGGAGGTAGAGAGGCAGATCATGGGAACAAGCTAGCTAGCTTTGACTAGCTGAATTGGTGAGCTCCAGGTTTTTGAGGGACCGCTTCAACATGTAAGGTGGAGAACAACTGAAGAAGATACTAGAAATCTTCACTCTCATGCACACATGCACACCAGTACACCTACACACATTCCAAAACCCACAGGTGTGACACACAGTCATGCACAAAGACAAAAGGGGGCCGGAAAGCCAGCTCAGCGGTTAGGAGCACTGGCTGCTCTTTCAGAGGACCTGCGTTCGGTTCCCAGAACCCACACGGTGGCTAACAACCATCACTAACTCCAGTTCCAGGAGATCTGACACTCTCTTCTGACCTCTGAAGGCACTGAACTCACACACGCACATACACGCACATAGACACACACAGATAGACATAAGTGAAAATATATTGCCAGATATGGTGCACACCTTTAATCATAGCACTCGAGCAGAGGCAGGTGAATCTCTGTGAAATGAGGCCAGCCTGGTTTACATAGGGTAATTCCAGGGAACCTGGAGCTACAGGGAGACCCTGTTGAAGGAAAGGGTGGGGGGAAGGAGAGAGGGAGAGAGGGAGGGAGGAAGGAAGGGATGGGAGGGGAGGGGAGGGAGGAAAAGGAGGGGAGGAAGAAAGAAAATGAAAAACCAAATTACCCTGATAGAGGCAGCAGGTAATTAAGGGCGTTTCCCAGGGGAAGGACCTGATCCTTACTGAGTGCACCCAAGGACTGGGTATCTCTGCAGGTGCTGGACACAGGGGAGCAGCTGATGGTCCCTGTAGATGTTCTAGGACAGGGGAACGAAGGGGCCCTCTGGAAGTTTCTGCTCTCGGGAGCCATGGCCGGGGCAGTGTCTCGAACAGGCACAGCTCCTCTGGACCGAGCCAGGGTGTACATGCAGGTAAGATGGGTGGGTACCACAGTCCTGGACCCCAGGGGACAGTGAGGGCAGAAAGAAGCAGAGATGGGGTGGGTGGAACTCATGATGGAGGGGGAATGGGGGGTGATATTGAGATCCCAGTTTTGGAAGAAGATGGAGAGAGATTAAGAAAACTCCACCAGGCACAGGACCAACATGGGGCCAAGCTAAAAGGTTTAGAGGTTAGGGAATTGTGGGTGGGGCATTCGAGGGTATTGTTTTTTTGAGAGGAGAGATATTATAGATGGAACCCAGGGCCTCCCAGCTAACTACTCGCCAACTGCGGAGCCAGACTCAGCCCTTTTATTTCCGTTTTGCTTCATTTGTTTTGCTTTTTTTTTTTTAATTAAAAAAAATTTTTTATTTTTTTTATTTTATGTGTATTTTTGTATTGCCTGCATGTACACCATGTCGTGCAATACCCTTGGAGGTCAGAAAAGGCTGTCAGATTCCCTGGGACTGGCATTACAGACAGTTGTAGTTGCCACGTGGGTGCTGGGATTCGAACCTGGGTCTTCTTCAAGAACAACCAGTGCTCTTAACTGCTAAGCCATCTCTCCAGCCCATTTTGTTTTTTGAGACAGGGTCTCCCTGTAGCCCCAGCTGTCCTAGAACTCACTATGTAGACCAGGCTGGCCTTGATCTCACACTGATCGGTCTGCCTCTGCCTCCCCAGTGCTGGATTAAAGGTGTGGGTGTGCAACACCATGCCTGGCTTTTTATTTTGAAACAAGGTCTCAGTGAGTTGCCTAGGCTGGCTGTGAACAAATTCTATAGACCAAGCAGAATTTGGACTTAGAAATTCTCCTGCCTCAGCAACCAAGATCTTGGGATGTTATCACCAAGCTAGGTCAGCATGGGGTCTGTGCATGACTCTGGGCAGCTGGTCTACTCCATGGTCATCATCATCCAGTTGTGCAGAAGGCTGAAGCAGGAGGATCTCCACTTCAAGGCTAGCCTGTACTACAGAAAGTGTTCAAGGCTAGCCTAGTCAACTTAGTGAGACCCTGTCTCAAAACAAAAAGTAAAAGAGGGCCAGTGGTGTGGCCCAGCAGTAGAGCCATTGCCTAGAGGGGCTGGGGGGGCGTGGCTCAGGGGTAGAGTGACAGCCTCAATCCCCCGGGGAGGGGCTGGGGGCGTGGCTCAGTGTAGAGTGACAGCCTAGGATCACCCAGTGAGGGGCTGGGGGCATGGCCCAGGGGTAGAGTGACAGCCTAGGATCCCCCAGCAAGGGACTGGCTTGGAGGCCTGTGTCTGGTGTTCAGGGCTCCTGGTCCCTCCCAGGTTTACTCATCCAAGGCTAACTTCATGAACCTGCTGACTGGGCTCCGAAGCCTGGTCCAGGAAGGTGGTGTGCGCTCGCTCTGGCGAGGTAACGGCATTAACGTGCTCAAGATTGCCCCAGAGTACGCCATCAAGTTCTCGGTCTTGGAACAGGTGAGCATAGGGCTCATGCCACCTCAAGTCCCCATAAAGTTCAAGGCGCCCTTTCAGCTCTCCAGGTTCAGCCCCACCCCATGATGGCTGCGGTAGGAAGGACACTGCCTTCACCACACTCTTCTCTCCTCAGTGTAAGAATTTCTTCTGTGGAGTTCACGGGTCCCCACCCTTCCAGGAGCGGCTCCTTGCAGGCTCCCTGGCTGTGGCCATCTCCCAGACGCTCATCAACCCCATGGAGGTGAGGCCAGAGAGGGACAGGGTAGAACAGTAACACCTCCTCCTCCACCTCCTCCACCTCCTCCTCCTCCACCTCCTCCTCCTCCACCTCCACCTCCTCCTCCACCTCCACCACCTCTACCTCCTCCTCTTCCTCCTCCTGAAAGGCTACCTCGAAACCCCCAGCAATCCAGCCTCAGCCTCCCAAATGCTGGGATCACAGGTACGGGCACCACACCTGGTTTTGTTTTCCCCAGTCTTCTCCTCCCACTCCCCAAGCCTGGTCTGTTTCTCTTCCCTCCCCCACTTCTAATTCTGGGAGATGCAACTGTGACAGGGTCTCCCACACACCCAGCTTGTCTTTGGTCTCACTGGGTGCCAGGCATCACCTGTCACCACAGAAGGCCACCCTGTCAGTTGACACTGTTTCTGGGATAGTCCATTCCTTCTCCCGATGACCCTAACACCTATATTCTGTGCACTGTCCTGTGTGCATGTGAAATAACATTACAGACTTTGTCTTGCTCAGATGTTGGATCTTACCCCACAGACCTTTTTCTTTTATTTTTTGAGACAGGGTCTCACTATGAGGATGACCTTGAAATCCTCATCCTCCTCAGCTAAGTTCCAGGCCAACCTGGGCTACTTGAGGAAGTAGCCCTGTCTGTCTCAAGCAAACAAACAGAAACAAGCACAGTAGGAACTTGGTTGGAAAATGATTAAGATTAAAGTCTTGGGGACGTGATTGAATTCTGGTGATTTTTGAGACAGGGTCTTCTTGTAGCCCCAGCTGGCCTGGAACTCACTGTGTAGATCGGGATGGCCTTGAACTCACAGAGATCTGCCTGCCTCTGCCTCCTGAGTGCTGGGATGAAAGGCTGTAACACCATCACATTCAACATATTCTCTGCTGGGATCAAACTCAGGACTTTGTGCTAGGAGAGGGGCTCCACCAAAATACAGCACTGGCCTTGGGCTTTTTTGTTTGCTTGCTTGCTTTCTGTCTTTTTTTTTTTAATGTGTCTAGATGTGTGTTCAAACTGACATTAAACTTACTGTCCTCTTCCTCTTGTCTCAGCCTTCACAGCAGTGGGATGAAGGCTGTTTACTGCACTTGGGTTTAAACCTCTCTTTTTTTTTTGGTCTTTTTGAGACAGGTTTCCTTGTAGCTGTCCTGGAACTCACTATGTAGACCAGGGTGGCCATGAACTCACAGAGCTCCGCCTGCCTCTACCACTCAAGTGCTGGGACTAAAGGCATGTGCCACCATGCCCAGCTTAACTCTTTTCTTTATAATGCTTATTAACCTCACATATTTTATTATAGTGAAAACAACCAGGCTAAACTAGTCCGTCAAATCCCCTTCTTCCCTATATTTGCCTGTATAAGGTATGTACACATATACATCTTTACCCTGAGACCCTTTTTTGTGTAAAATTTATGTGTATGGTGTATGGGTGTTTTGCCTATGTGTATGTAAGTGCACCACATGTGTGGAATGCCCATGCTGGCCAGAAGAGGGCATTGAATCCCCTGGAACTGGGGAAGTCCAATTTTTCAAAAGGTTGTTAGCCTCCATGTGGTTGCTAGGAACTGAACCTGGGTCCTTTGCAAGAGCAGCCAATGCTCTTAACTGCTGAGACCACTCTCCAGCTCTGACCCTGGGGACTTTGACTACAGCTCCACCTCCCAAGTGCTGGGATGACTGTCCTGCCTGTGAGAGCATTTAGCCAAACCAGCCTTGTCCCCCATCCCCTGTATGGTGTATGGGTGTTTTGCCTATGTGTATGTAAGTGCACCACATGTGTGGAATGCCCATGCTGGCCAGAAGAGGGCATTGAATCCCCTGGAACTGGGGAAGTCCAATTTTTCAAAAGGTTGTTAGCCTCCATGTGGTTGCTAGGAACTGAACCTGGGTCCTTTGCAAGAGCAGCCAATGCTCTTAACTGCTGAGACCACTCTCCAGCTCTGACCCTGGGGACTTTGACTACAGCTCCACCTCCCAAGTGCTGGGATGACTGTCCTGCCTGTGAGAGCATTTAGCCAAACCAGCCTTGTCCCCCATCCCCTCTTCAGGTACTCAAGACTCGGCTGACCCTGCGCCACACAGGCCAGTATAAAGGGCTCCTGGACTGTGCCCGACAGATCCTGGAGCAAGATGGCACCCGAGCCCTTTATCGAGGCTACCTGCCCAACATGCTGGGCATCATCCCTTATGCCTGCACAGACCTGGCTGTCTATGAGGTGTGCATCTGGGGGAGGGACTGACTGGACAGACTGGTCCTATCTCTTTTATTAATAGGTATATGTGTCTATGAGGTGTGCATCTGGGGGAGGGACTGACTAGAAAGACTGGTCCTATCTCTTTTATTAATAGGTAATAGGTTTTATTTTTAATTTTTGTTCTATGTGTATGAGTGTTTTACCTTCATGTAAGTGCACCCATGTGTGCAATGCCCATGGAAGCCATAAGTGGGCATTGGATCACATGGAACTGGAGGTACAGATGGCTGTTAGTTGCCATGGGTGCTAGGAACTGAACCTGGATCCTTTTCAAGAGCATCCAGTGCTCTTAACCTCTGAGCCATCCTTCCAGTCCCTAAGTTCCACTTTGTCACATGGAACTGGAGGTACAGATGGCTGTTAGTTGCCATGGGTGCTAGGAACTGAACCTGGATCCTTTTCAAGAGCATCCAGTGCTCTTAACCTCTGAGCCATCCTTCCAGTCCCTAAGTTCCACTTTGTCACATGGAACTGGAGGTACAGATGGCTGTTAGTTGCCATGGGTGCTAGGAACTGAACCTGGATCCTTTTCAAGAGCATCCAGTGCTCTTAACCTCTGAGCCATCCTTCCAGTCCCTAAGTTCCACTTTGTCACATGGAACTGGAGGTACAGATGGCTGTTAGTTGCCATGGGTGCTAGGAACTGAACCTGGATCCTTTTCAAGAGCATCCAGTGCTCTTAACCTCTGAGCCATCCTTCCAGTCCCTAAGTTCCACTTTGTCACATGGAACTGGAGGTACAGATGGCTGTTAGTTGCCATGGGTGCTAGGAACTGAACCTGGATCCTTTTCAAGAGCATCCAGTGCTCTTAACCTCTGAGCCATCCTTCCAGTCCCTAAGTTCCACTTTGTCACATGGAACTGGAGGTACAGATGGCTGTTAGTTGCCATGGGTGCTAGGAACTGAACCTGGATCCTTTTCAAGAGCATCCAGTGCTCTTAACCTCTGAGCCATCCTTCCAGTCCCTAAGTTCCACTTTGTCACATGGAACTGGAGGTACAGATGGCTGTTAGTTGCCATGGGTGCTAGGAACTGAACCTGGATCCTTTTCAAGAGCATCCAGTGCTCTTAACCTCTGAGCCATCCTTCCAGTCCCTAAGTTCCACTTTTATAAAATCAATGATTTTAGCTTTCACATGTGAAATCACATGACATTGGTCTGTCTGTGCCTTGCTTATGTCACTTAACATAATGTCTTTTGATTCCAACCCTGTTACTGTAAATGAGTTCTTTTTCATGGCTGAGTAATATTCCCTAGTGTAAACCAGGTACCTCTTCATCTGTGTCCATTACCTCATTACCATAGATAGCATGACTCCACATTTGTTTGTTTTACCATAGTCTCACTTTGTCCGGGTTGCCTTGAACTTGAAAGACTCCTCCTGCCTCAGCCTCCTGGGTACTGGAAAGGTAAGTGTACTCTAACACTTTGCCTGGCTTGAAGCTGGAGTTGGAGTCTTTTTTAAAAATATTTTCATTTTATTGTTTTTAGTTATGTGTATAAGTGTGTGTCTATGTACAGGAATTGCATTGCTGGAGTTACAGGCTGCTGTGAACTGCCAATGTGGGTGCTAGGAATCAAACTTCGGTCCTCCAGAAGGACAGTATATGCTTGTAACCAGGGAGCCACCTCTTCAGCTCAAGCCTTTGTAAACAGAGCTCTCTCCTGCAGCTGCTCCAGTACTTGTGGCAAAAGTTGGGCAGGGACATGAAGGACCCCACTGGTGTCGTCAGCCTGTCATCTGTGACACTCTCCACAACCTGTGGTCAGATGGCCAGCTACCCACTAACGTTGGTGCGCACACGGATGCAGGCACAAGGTGGGCCTGGCCCCTGTGGCCACCATGCATGCCTTCTGCCATGTCACCTAGATCTCTGAATTTTGAGTCTCCTTCACTAACTTCTGGACTCTATCGCTGATCCTGGACACCTGTGCTAATTCCTGAACCCACCAAAGCTTATTTACTCACACTTCCCAATCTCACCCTGCCCTCAAATTAACCCTTTAAAAAAAATTCCTGCTAGCTGGGGGTGGTGATGCACACCTTTAGTCCCAGCACTCAGGAAGCAGAGACAGGCAGATCTCTGTGAGTTGGAGGCCAGCCTGGTCTACATAGCAAGACCCTGGTCTCAAAGACAAAAAAAAAAAAAAAAATCCCTGCTGAGCCAAGTGTTGTGATGCACACCTTTAATCCTGGTGCTACCAGAAGCAGGCAGATCTGTTAAGACTGAGGCCAGCCTGGTCTATGCTGCCAGTTCCAGGCCAGCTGGGGCTACAGAGACCCTATCTCAAAAAAAGAAAAACAAAATTCCTGCTTGGTATGGTGGCACATGCCTGTCACCCCAGTACTGGGGAGGTGGAGACAGGAGGAGCAGTAGTAGTTCAGGGTCATCCTCAGCTACATAGTGACTTTGAAGCCACCCTCAAACTCAGAAAACCAAAAGCTGAGGCTTGGGGCTTGTAGGTCAGGGTAGGTAGAAACAGGAGGATCAGGAGGTCAGGGTAGGTAGAAACAGGAGGATCAGGAGTCCAAAGCTACCCTGGGCTACATGCGATCATCTAAAATATATATTCTACATTTTAATATTATATATATATACATATATACACATATATATCAGCAAACAAAATGTCCATCTCCTATGTGGTCCTCACAAAATTCCCCTCAATGTGACCCAAACCCTCCACACTGCCATCTTGTATCAGGCCCAGAGCTGAGTTTGCCTCTGTCCCTGCAGACACAGTGGAAGGCTCCAACCCCACCATGCTGGGAGTCTTCAGGGGGATCCTGAGTCAGCAGGGCTGCCCCGGCCTGTACCGAGGCATGACGCCCACCCTACTGAAGGTTTTGCCAGCAGGTGGCATCAGCTACCTGGTGTACGAAGCCATGAAGAAAACACTGGGTGTGCAAGCCTTGAACCGATGACATGCCGGAACAGCAAGGGACTGGCAGACCCTGTGTCTTGGGTCTCAAAGCACTCGCCAAGGCTCAGGACTTGGAGGATGTTCTGGGTTTGCAAAACCAGCCAGGGACTCGGTTAGATGATTTCCTGGTCACTTCAACCAGAGTTGGGATTCCAGCCTAGTTTTTGAGGATGTCTCCAAAAGAGGGTGCAGACAACCAGGAATAAAGCACGTTTTTGCTGGCTGTCTGGAATTAGCTGGCTCTGAACTGGGGGAGAGGGGCACGCACTAGGACTGTGGAGGTGTGACAATTCAGTGGTAAAGAGCTGGCCCAACATGCATGGGGTCCTGGGTTCAGACCCCACCCTGAGGAGCAACGAGCTTGGTAGAGGATGGGAGCTGGGGACTTGGATCTCTATGGGAACCTGGGATCCAGGGAGGGAACACTGGACCTGGGGTTCCAGGGTGGGGCCTGAAGTCCTTGGGATGGGAGCAGGAGACTTAGATTTTTCTTTTTTTTTTTTCGGTCTTTTACAGGGTCTCCCTGTAGCCTGAATTCACTATGTAGTCCAGGCTGGCCTCGAACACTGAGAGATCCGCCTGCCTCTGCCTCCCAAGTGCTGGGATTAAAGGCGTGGACCTCCACGCCCGGAATGGGACTTGGATTTCTATAGGGACCTGGGGTCCTTGGGTCCAGGAAAAGAACGGAGAGCTTGGACCTCTGTGGGGGGCATCCTGCAGTTCAGGGTGGGATCTAGGAGCTTGCATCTTTAGGGGGACATGAGGCCCAGAGTGGGAGCTGGGGACTTGGGTCACTATGGGGACAGGGGCTTGTATAAAGTTGAGAAGTGCCATGAGTCCTTTTCCTTTGAAGAAGGAAAAAAGGGTTCAGGCACTCCTGGGTGATTCCTCCAGCTCTCGTGTCACACGCCTCCCGGAAGCACCAATTCCCAAGGCTTCAAGCAGACTATGTGCAAGGCCTTCCAAGACAGGCCGCAAGGGCACTGACCCAGACTTCAGGCCCGACTTCCGGCAGCGGGTCACCACCGCCCACGTTGGCTGCCAATCACTCCAGCTCCCGCTAATCCGCTCTCGCCGCCTGGTAGCCGGCTCCACCCCAATGCAGCTGCGCTTCCACTGCCTTCCATCGAAACGGCCAGTTTACTTCCTTCATTGCTATTTGCCCACAGTGCTGCCAATCATTCAAAAGCCAGCCTCTATCGCCCAGCCATTGGCTCAGAAGCCACGGGAGGAAAAGGATTTTGTTACACAAGGAAAGCAGGCAAGTCTAAATCCTAGAGCATCACCACAGAATGCTTCAGCAATTGGGCTAAATGTACTGCCAATCTTGACAAGCACCGCCTTCCGCGAGTATTCACTGGACGGTGTTCACATCTATGGCACTGAGCGCCTGCCCTACTCGTCCAAAATGGGCCTTTGGCAGCGTCCCGCCCCCGACCCACGTGACTGATAGGAGCCATCATTCTCTTTCAGAATCCGCCCCGCGAATCTGGACTTTACCCCTCATTGGACCTCCTATCTTCTCGCGTGACTTCGATTTGCCCGCCTAACGCCGACAACCTGCGGTTTATTTCGTCTTAGAGCTGTCAGTCACACCGTGCCTCCCGCCTACTGCGATCTGCGGTAGTCTGATTGGTCGCTCTGTTCCACAGCCCGCGATTGGTGGGAGGGGCAACGACTGCTACCTTTCATTGGCTGGCTTCGCCGTCCGTCACACCGCGGCGGGAGGGGGCGCCGCTTCCCCCCTCCCCCGCGTCGTCTTCCCAGCCGCTGGCTTCCCATCGTGCTCCGCGGCCGTGTGGAGCGAGGCCTTGTTCCCGCGTTGAGCCGCCGCCGCCGCCGCCGCCTCCTCACCGTCAAGCCTCCGCGCCAGGCCCGGCCCAGCCACGCCATGTCGGACTACAGCACCGGAGGCCCCCCGCCAGGCCCGCCGCCGCCCGCCGGAGGGGGAGGAGGAGCGGCGGGCGCGGGAGGAGGCCCTCCTCAGGGCGCGGGGGACCGGGGCGGCGGAGGCCCCGGCGGCGGCGGCCCTGGTGGAGGAGGCGCGTCTGGAGGTCCCGCGCAGCCTCCCGGCGGG